ATTATAATTCTTACCAGCAACAGCACATCAAGTATCCATCTGAGTACCTCTACCTATTGATGGCAAATGTGTTTATTTTTACAGAACGTTACGATTCCTGTGGTGAGCCCCCTCGAATCCCCCATGCTGTCATCAAGCATGAATACAAGGAGGTGTTTGCTGCAGATACACAAGTGTACTATGAATGTGAAGATGGATATACTGTAGAGAGAGCAGAAGACACAAAATCCATCTTTTGTGTGCTTGGAAACTGGACTGACGGTCCAACATGCAGTAAGTGGACAGTGTGCTGAGATATGCAGGAGTAAAAATACTTTTAGTCAGTGTGAAAAACAACTGATCCTAACCCCCTTTTGAGACCTGTATGGTCTCAGTGTGTGTGTGTGTGTGTGTGTGTGTGTGTGTGTGTGTGTGTGTGTGTGTGTGTGTGTGTGTGTGTTTTGGGGGACGTTATTATTATCAAACTTTAAGATTACTAAAATGTAATTTAAGTTTTGTTTTTCCTGTGATATTTTTGTTATAATATTAGCTTAACACCAGGGATTCTGGCTCCAGCAACACAGGATACAGCAACCCTGCACAACAGCTGTAACCACACCTCCAGAACCCAATCTACCTATTGAATGCTTTAACTACTTTTGCAGGCTTGTAAGAATAAAAACAGAAATTCTGCTAACTGAAATGTCAGTTTACACAGTGCTGCTCAACTCCTTCAGCTAGTGCCATCCTCGTTTGTGTGCACTACAGTATTGTGCAAGTTCACTGTCTAAGTAACAGACAATAGAGAGATAATTCACTATAGAATTTTGGCGGGATCGCGGGATCAAGGAATGAGAAAAACGTCTCCTCTTGTGATCCATAAAAGTGAATCTATTGTATGTATGTGTAAGGTTTCACCATCAAAAAAAATTATGTTAGATTTTAAAATTCTAAAAAAGCATGATGGGAAAAATATTTTATATTTTATATATTCTGGGGGGGAAAAATGCATAAAAACAATCTCCCAGTGGGATACTAACAGCTGTGTCCAATGTATCTTACAGGATCTTCAACCAACTCCGGATTGAATGAACATGAACTCACTACAAGTAAATAAGTAGATTCATTTCACTTTTTATATCACATAAACCAGATAATATCTCCCTTTTTCACTGAGTTACTGAGGAAAAATGTAGAGGAAAAACTCTACTCTATAACTGTTTCAGTCAGCAGATGTGGAAGCCTTCCTGTGGTTTGTGATGGAGTTGTTGTGGAAACTGATCGAATGTTTGTGAAATACAAATGCAGTAGATACTACGCCTTAGTGGGTCCACAGACAGTGTCGTGTTAAGGCGATGGCACGTGGTCAGAAGTGCCAACCTGCAAAGATATAACAAATCAGTTCTAAATGTCTGTCAAAGAAGTTAGCTGGAAAAGTTAACGTTCATGTTTTGTTGTTTTTTTTGTGCAGCTGCCTTCTGTTCTCTGGACACTGATAAAGTTTCTCGGTTAAAACCTGTTGGAGTTAAATTCATAGAAGAGGGCGAGACTGTGAGATTGGAATGTAAGGATGAGCATTGGTTCGATAATTTTTCTGAGGTCCAGTGCACTAATGGAAAAATACACCTGTCCCGATGTAAGTATCTCTATAAGCTCTTTACATATTAATATGCCATTAAATGAAAGACAGTAGATCACAGATTGTTCCACATTGTTCTGTCAGCTAAGACACAATCTACCAGATAGTTCTAGTATTTATAAAAATAGATTATCACAGTTTTCAGTCTTTAGTTCAACATAAGATAAGATAAGATAAGGTATGATAAGATAGACTTTATTGATCCCACACTGGGGAAATTAACTTTTCACTAAGAAAAATAGAAATACACATTAAATAACGAAATAAAACAGAAAAGTACAAGATATAAATAAAAAATAAAATCAGGGTTGTACGTACACTATATACAGTTTTTTAGACAGATGTGATTTAAATTAAAATATAATACTGCACAGGTTACAGCAGGAGTTAGTGGCATGTTAAATAAATAATTCCACCAGACAAATATATATATATATATATATATATATATATATATATTTGTCTATATATATATATATGTTTATATATACATTTAGCAGAAGAACTATACAGTACTAGTATCAAGTATGTGATGATGAAGCGACAAGATTTAAACATTGGCGTGATCGTTGTAGCCAAACAAAGAATTTGTCCCCAGCCTCAACTCAACCAGAATATTTTCACATTTTGGGAAATGTTCCTATTTGCTTTCTTGCTGAGAATCAAATGAGAAGAATGAGACCATACTGATGCTGATATCGGGACTATTTCTTGGCCGGGAGTGTTTGCTAGTTGCCTAGCAACCTCACAGCAACCACAAGACTCGTCAAGATATAATGTGTTAATGAGTGAACTTTAGAGGTGAATTATGTTGCCTTTGGACTGAGCCAGACCAGCTGTTTCCAGACTTTATGCTAAACTAAGCTAACCCCCTGCTAGCTACAGATTTAGCATACAGACATGGAGAGTGGTACTGGTCTTCTAGTACTACACTGACTCGAGATGGACAGTAAACAGAATCGATGCAGCAGAACAACAGATACTGTAGTTTTTATTCCATGTAATCTTCCATGCCAATACCTGCTGCCTATGTTACCCACAATGCAATGTGTATGTTATGCTAGTAGCCACCAATAGCCTGGAGCCTGCCTCAAGCAGATATGAAGAGCAGTCTACAGAGATCTGGTAATCTCACTTCTATCTAACTCCAAACCCCCAGATTTTTATTTTTATTTTTATTTCAAATTTTTAGTCTTCAGTCCAACTGACACTGACTCAAGTGACATCACGTGAGGTCATTTATTAGATTTCACACAGCTTGAACTGAGGGGCCCAGCTCTACCAGGTGAGCTATAGGGCGTTCACCAATAATGAGTCCTTGTTGCAGCAGCCATGGTTGAATCTAACCTGTAAAATATACTTCATGCAGCTCTCTCTGGAGCAACAAAAAACTTCATGCATTTTTTTCACACTGGTGGCGTAGTATTCCCAAAAACCTGTAAACAGACTTTGATGTGTAAAATCAGTGGCGTTCCCCTTTAAGATGTTGGCCGATGATACACAGTTTTTACTTTGGACCAAAGAAAAGAAAGAATTGGGAAGCACATACAGTTATTAGGCAAATACAAGTATCTATACGTTGATTAACTTCACTGTAAAACCTAACAGCATTTCTTAATCCTCCAAAAAATGTAGTCACTCATTGCCATGAATTAAACCTAACTCAAAAATGAATTGTTGCAGTATTGGTGATATAATTTAAGTTTGTTCCATTGACTAATTTCCTTCATGTTGACTTTATATCATTACAAAAAGGTCAGCCTCACATTGCTATAATGCTGTATGATTTAGTTTTTTGTTTTTTTCAAGCTTTAATTGGAAGAAAAGAGTAAATTCAACTTAAGTGGCAACCATTATATAAAGAAGATGCATTTGAGGGTAGTATTCTTACAATTAACTTAATTTATCCCAAGTTACCTTAACAATAAATACTTGAGTTACTTGTACTCAAATAAAAATCATATTATGCTTAAATTGTTTGAGTTAATAAAGGCATTTTTTTTTTTTTAAGGCAATCAGTTTCCTCAAAGATTGAGATTGAACTAACTCATCAGATTTTACAGCGTATCAGCTTCTGCATGCACAATGATTGAACTATTCTTCTACAGTCAATTAAATGAACTCAACAACACAAGAAAACTCAATTTAAACAATGAGAAGCCTGAAGATATTTAGTAAATCAGACAGACCACATATTCACTGCCTCCATTTGATTGTTTTCAGGTTGTAACAGGGCTCAACTGGGCTCGGTGAGTGTTACTCCTCTATCTACTTTTTAAAGAAACACATACAGATGTTGTCTTCCATCTTGTGTTTCACATGAAGTGCTACTATTAAATTTGTATGTACATTTATGATTCTGTGTTTATATTCCACTTTATTTACATTATATTTTACTCTCTCTGTCTTGTAACTAGAACACTTGCTAAGGCTGAATCATAAAGAGGAAGATACTGCTGCCGTTGGATTCGCTCACCACCGACTGAAAACAAATGCCAGCCTGGATCTTTTGAGAGACGTTATGATTTTGCTGTCAAACCATTTCTGTCTTTTCATATTGATCTATGAATGGCTGTATAATGTGTTTGTATGCTCAAAGTAGCAAAAATAACTCTACAGATAAATGTGGTGTATTTGATGGACTGGCCTGAATAAAGTCTTCAACTGGAATTTCAACTCTAAATCCTTCTAGAATTGTGTCTTTGGTTAATTTGTGCCCACAAGATAAATGTACAGAGAGCCAGAACAACAGACCAGCCTTTCTCCAGGAGCATGAAGTGCAGTGTAGCCTACCTGCTTCAATTATCACCATAATAAAGCCGACAATGAACAGATGCTCTCAACATATATATTTCCAGAGTGGCCATAGACAGTATTGTGTCAAGATTGTGTTCTGCAAAATGATACAATAGACTGTTTACTGCTCTCTAATGATAAAACTGCTTTTAGAGGTGACTTATTTAAATATGTTTATAAACCTGCTATAATTCTAAGGAAAGACCTGAACTGCATGTCCATGTCTCCCCTCTAATACTGCAGCCACATAACACAGTACAGTATGCTGTGTAAAGTTATGCAGAGCACAAGAAGATCCAGCAGATGGCAATCAGACACTGACACAGAGTCTTAAAGACAAACTGTATGATCACATCATAATCATCGATATCAATCTAAATGATTCTTATGGTTCCTGCTCTGTTTTTGTTTGTAATAAAACTTATGTTTTACAGAGGTTCACCTCTGTTACTACAGTCTGACCTTTGGCCTGACTGTGTTTGGTGTTTCATAATGCTGACCTCTGATCACGGCAGTCCGGGAAATCATTCTGAAATCTGGACTCTAAACAAATGATCACAATCACTGGTGCTTCTGTGTTAACAAACATGGAAGAAATACTGCAGAATTACATGAATGGAACAAACATGAAGTGTAAGAAATTAGAGTTTAAACTAAAGTCTTCAATGTACCATCTTTGATCAGATTGACTGTGTCTATATGTGTTTATTGAGCTACCTTCTGTGTATAGCTTGTAAGATATTATCACATTATAGAGATAATATCCTCATTACATGGATACTAAATCATTATGACTACTATTATATTATTACTTTCTTACAGAGAAACGTGTCTATATGTCTAAACTCTGTTATTATCTGACTTATTTTGAAATAAGTCATTATGGGAGACAAAAAACAATAAATGTGTGGATTTTATTTTATTTTTTAGAAATGGACAAAGTGTTATTCTATACTCTCACGTGTCTCTCTAAGGTTAAAATGCAAAAAAAGTATTGCTCCTCTATGTCTGTATGTGCTTGTAATGTATTCTAATCAGTGTGTTTGCTTCAGACCAACAGTGTTATGTAAGAGTTGGAGTGTTTACTCCACATTTCTCAACTTTTGGGGGAAAGGCCCTCAATGATTATTAACTGGTTCTGATCTTAACTGAACTCTTTGCTCTGCTTTGGACTGAATTCCTGACAAAATGTGTGTGAGATATCTCGGATTTGTTCTTTTGGTTTGGTTTCCAGGGGTGCTGCATGGTAAGAACATTAAATTATATCACCTATCATTTCAGTGTCTTAAGAAAGGATTTCAGTACGGTGTTCTCTAACTTGTCATTGTTTCAGCACAAAGGGCAGATAACTCTTGTTCTGCTCCCCGCCTGAATGATGGTTATTTTGTCCCCAACAACGAAACATATGCTCATGGAGTCAAGCTCACTTATGCCTGTGAAAAGGGAAATAAACCAGTAGTGGCTGGTCGTTGGTGGGCAACAAGCACCTGTCAAAATGGCACATGGTTTCATGAACCAAAATGTATAGGTAAGTGTTCTATAATATATCCACTGGTTTGTTTTAACTCGATCACCTCTCATGTGGAAACCTTTATTAATTATTCAGTGTTTCAATACTGCAAAACAGATGAAGTCAGTGTATGACCCTGTAGGGTAAAAGATCAACTTAAAGGGGAACTTCGGCAGATTTTTACCCTAGTCTTGATCACTAGAGGTCACCGAGTACTGTCGATAGGAAAAAGAACGACCAGAATTGGTTCTAGCAAACTGGAGTTCCTGCAGCTAATGGCCAGAGCTCCCAGTTAGTTATAATACACTTCTTGGGGGCATATCCTAAAGAGTGCCTTTTGCTCCTCTTAACTGATACAAAATGCAATTAAAATGTCTGTGCAACATGATCAGGGCCCTTACGTGACAACAACATGCCTTTTCAGATCATACGTTGTGCAGAAACCGTACAAAACAGTACTGTCTCCTACCTGTTTTTCCACCGCTCGCTTCACTGAAAGCCCAGAATAATCGATCACGGAGATAATGCCTTCACGACGAAAAAAGGTTTATTTCCCCTCAAAAATGTCCATGTCTTCACACACTACTCTCCGATTTGCACACTTCCTGCAACAATTTCTTCTTCTGCGTTTACCTGCAACAAGTGAAATCTTTCTTTCCCTTTTTTTTGATTTTGAGGGGGAAAAAAACTTTTTTATCTTCCTCTTTATGATTCAGCCTTAGCAAGTGTTCTAGTTACAAGACAGAGAGAGTAAAATATAATGTAAATAAAGTGGAATATAAACACAGAATCATAAATGTACATACAAATTTAATAGTAGCACTTCATGTGAAACACAAGATGGAAGACAACATCTGTATGTGTTTCTTTAAAAAGTAGATAGAGGAGTAACACTCACCGAGCCCAGTTGAGCCCTGTTACAACCTGAAAACAATCAAATGGAGGCAGTGAATATGTGGTCTGTCTGATTTACTAAATATCTTCAGGCTTCTCTGTAAATATCCGGGGAATAAAATCCATGTGAATGAAGTATAATCCTAACCCTGTTACCTGTATGTTAGCCAGCTAGCTTGGTTCATGTGAGAGCATAATATAAAACATTGAATGGCGTGATGCCACTGTGAAAAGCTACGCATTGTTGGGATGCATATGCGGAGATTTTTATTCACAGGACATCCCATTAGTTATACCGTTCATTTACACACAGACACTCATAGAGCCCTCATACAACAGTTTCACGCCCCAGTGTCACGTGACAGGGAGCTTACAGCATTGCACAGACATTTTAATTGCATTTTGTGTCAGTTAAGAGGAGCAAAAGGCACTCTTTAGGATATGCCCCCAAGAAGTGTATTATAACTAACTGGGAGCTCTGGCCATTAGCTGCAGGATCTCCAGTTTGCTAGAACCAATTCTGGTCGTTCTTTTTCCTATCGACAGTACTCGGTGACCTCTAGTGATCAAGACTAGGGTCAAAATCTGCCAAAGTTCCCCTTTAAATGTTGTCTGTAATAAGCATCCATATAATCTCAGTAATAGTTTGTAGGGTTTATGAAATGGCTTCCATTTAAATCCAGAACTTTATTGTCATGTATTTCATTATAGTATTAAGGGTCATTGTTGAACAGTTACACATTTGCATTACCTGTTAACACATTACAATGAGATGTTTTTTCCATCAACAAGCAGTATAAGCCATTATAATTAAGTAATATACAGCATTAGTTTCTGATCCAAGAAAGCTGTGTCAACTTGTTTGCTGTCTTACCAGGAGTTAGATGGTTGATATCATTTTTGAGGACAGAAAGGATGTAGGGAGACAGTTAGCCTTTACCAAAAAAAAGGAGAAATGTGGCTCTCTTTAACTCAAATATTGTTGTATTAACATATCTCCTTAGCTGGCAGCTTCACCTATATACGGTTGGTTAGCCTTCAGTTGAGGATGGGACTTGTCAGAGTGCTTAGAGCCAAGATAACAATAGCTGTTGATGGTCAGTAAATAACTCCTATGGTAAATCTGTTTTTGTTTATCTTTCCCCTCAGACGAAGAAGACTGCATTACACCAGAGATACCCAATGCAAATTACACAACAAGCCCAGAAGTTTGGTATCAGGATGGACACGTATTTAGGGTAACATGTAATGAAGGATATGAACCCAAAAACCGGGCTGCTACAACCAGATGTAATAAAGGACGATGGACCTCTGTGCTAGTCTGTGAGAGTAAGTCTGTCTGATGTTTCATACCAGTAAGCTTTAAAACTAACAGACCACAATAATATCATTGTCTACATTATAATTCTTACCAGCAACAGCACATCAAGTATCCATCTGAGTACCTCGACCTATTGCAATTGTGTTTATTTTTACAGAACGTTACGATTCCTGTGGTGAGCCCCCTCGAATCCCCCATGCTGTCATCAAGCATGAATACAAGGAGGTGTTTGCTGCAGATACACAAGTGTACTATGAATGTGAAGATGGATATACTGTAGAGAGAGCAGAAGACACAAAATCCATCTTTTGTGTGCATGGAAACTGGACTGACAGTCCAACATGCAGTAAGTGGACAGTGTGCTGAGATATGTAGGAGTAAAAATACTTTTAGTCAGTGTGAAAAACAACTGATCCTAACCCCCTTTTGCACTCAAGCCTCTCTGCTGTCTGTCTGGTCTCACCTACAAACCAAAATAATAGAAATACTTAAACTATAAGATTACTGAAATGTAATTTAAATTGAGCTTTTCCTGTGATATTTTTGTGATAATATTAGCTTGCCCGCTACATCTGTGATTATTTACCTCTTGTGATGTTAAAGAGTTGCATGGAACAGTTTAAATGCCAGTTCTTGTGATACCCCTTTGTACAGAGGGGCTGTGGCTGTCTACAGTCAACAATAAATAATCTGATTAGTAATGAACAGGGGTGACACCAGGGATTCTGGCTCCAGCAACACAGGATACAGCAACCCTGCACAACAGCTGTAACCACACCTCCAGAACCCAATCTACCTATTGAACGCTTTAAATAACTACTTTTGCAGGCTTGCAACTCTCTTGTAGTCCAGTACTTACTATACGATATTTACTGATAGTGAGCTGTATAATACTGTACAATTCAAAGATGCATGCAACATACTGTACACAGTGGAATTACATATTTGGTGCTAGACTGATACTGCCTAAAGAAATGTGCTTCTTCATCTTTTACAGTCTAAACATAATTTTAATGGTAATATTCTTGAATAGAAATTTCTCTAAACATTAATGAATAACATAAAATAAATATAAAATGGGCATTGATATAGAATGATATGGAATTACCTAACAAAGACATACATTTAGTATACAGTATTAACTAGAAAAAGAACAGCTTTAAAAGCGGTCGACATTTTTCAGTCTGCATCAAAGCCATGGAGACATACTTTACCTTGACTATATGACTTGAAAGTATTAGTTTAACATATTTGAACTCTAATACAGATACTAATCTCTCAATACCTCAAACTGTCCAGCATCCAATACAGACTGTAGGCTGTTTTTGTTTCAGTCTTTGAATTCTTCTAATGATTTAATCATTTTTATTTTTTTCCACAAGAATAAAAAAAAGAAATTCCCACAGACCCCTGCAATTATGCCCTCTGAAATGTCATTTTACACAATGCTGCTCAACTCCTTCTCAGCTGGGGGGAAGACTGGTTCATTGGTGGGTATATTGGGAGACAGAGCTGCTGAGTCTGAAGCTGCTGTTGGCCTGGCCCCAGGCAAGGGCAGGTTTTTCTTTTGCTCCAGGTGCTCTGGTTTCCCCCAGCATGAAAACATGTACGTTAGGTCAGAGCCTTTTTGTTCTCTCTTTCTCTCTCAGGGCAAGGGACGGGATCAGATCCTGGACATGATGTTTCTGCAGAGGTGGAAACAGTCGGGGGGGACACTACAAATGCTGGCAGTGAAACACAACCTGGGGATGGTGGGTTTTGATTTATATGACATACGAAGAAGAAGAAGAAAGACCACAATATTTTAAATGCCAATGTCACTGATTAAGAAATACATTTACTCTAGCAAGGGCAACATTCTGGGGGGGAAATGCATAAAACAATCTCCCAGTGGGATAGTAACTGCTGTGTTCACTGTATCTTACAGGATCTTCAACCAACTGTGGATTGAATGAACATGAACTCACTACAAGTAAATAAGTAGATTCATTTCACAAAAATGCCTATTTGATTCCAAGCTGAATCTATAGCCATGGCTCTTATCAATAACCTTACTGAGGGATTTGCTGATAGATTGGGTCCATCAGTGATGCAGCTGGTAGAAGGCTGAGGAAATCAAAATGTGGGATGAAATTTTAAGTTAATTAACTCTGCTATGACTGCTTGAAAATTAGTTTTCAGAAACTTTGTTTTGTTTTTTCTTAAATCAGTCAACAGATGTGGAAGCCTTCCTGTGGTTCGTGATGGAGTTGTTGTGGAAACTGATCGAATGTTTGTGAAATACAAATGCAGTAGATACTACGCCTTAGTGGGTCCACAGACAGTGTCGTGTTACAGCGATGGCACGTGGTCAGAAGTGCCAACCTGCAAAGGTATAACAAATCAGTTCTAAATGTCTGTCAAAGAAGTTAGCTGGAAAAGTTAACGTTCATGTTTTGTTGTTTTTTTTTGTGCAGCTGCCTTCTGTTCTGTGGACACTGATAAAGTTTCTCGGTTAAAACCTGTTGGAGTTAAATTCATAGAAGAGGGCGAGACTGTGAGATTGGAATGTAAGGATGAGCATTGGTTCGATAATTTTTCTAAGGTCCAGTGCACTAATGGAAAAATACAGCTGTCCCGATGTAAGTATCTCTATAAGCTCTTTACATATTAATATGCCATTAAATGAAAGACAGTAGATCACAGATTGTTCCACATTGTTCTGTCAGCTAAGACACAATCTACCAGATAGTTCTAGTATTTATAAAAATAGATTATCACAGTTTTCAGTCATCAGATCAAGATGATGAAGCCACAAGGTTTAAACATTGGTATGATCATTGTAGCCAAATAAAGAATTTGTCTCTAGCCTCAACTCAACCTGACCCTTTAATGCTTTAATGCTGAGAATTAGATGAGAAGAAGGATTCCACACTGATACTTTGGATGAACTGCCCCAATTTTGGCTGTTGTAGCTGCATAAATATGATTAGCCCATAACTGCTAAAGTTAGACCAAATTAAATTGCTATATCATCCAAATGTTTGTTTATGGGGTGGCCCAGAACTGTGACGCGATGCTGTAAGCTCCCTGTCACGTGACACTGGGGCGTGAAACTGTTGTATGAGGACTCTATGAGTGTCTGTGTGTAAATGAACGGTATAACTAATGGGATGTCCTGTGAATAAAAATCTCCGCATATGCATCCCAACAATGCGTAGCTTTTCACAGTGGCATCACGCCATTCAATGTTTTATATTATGCTCTCACATGAACCAAGCTAGCTGGCTAACATACAGGTAACAGGGTTAGGATTATACTTCATTCACATGGATTTTATTCCCCGGATATTTACAGAGAAGCCTGAAGATATTTAGTAAATCAGACAGACCACATATTCACTGCCTCCATTTGATTGTTTTCAGGTTGTAACAGGGCTCAACTGAGCACGGTGAGTGTTACTCCTCTATCTACTTTTTAAAGAAACACATACAGATGTTGTCTTCCATCTTGTGTTTCACATGAAGTGCTACTATTAAATTTGTATGTACATTTATGATTCTGTGTTTATATTCCACTTTATTTACATTATATTTTACTCTCTCTGTCTTGTAACTAGAACACTTGCTAAGGCTGAATCATAAAGAGGAAGATACTGCTGCCGTTGGATTCGCTCACCACCGACTGAAAACAAATGCCAGCCTGGAATCTTTTGAGAGACGTTATGATTATGCTGTCAAACCATTTCTGTCTTTTCATATTGATCTATGAATGGCTGTATAATGTAGGAGCAAAGTGTTTGTATGCTCAAAGTAGCAATAATAACTATAAATGCGATAAATGTGGTGTATTTGATGGACTGGCCTGAATAAAGTCTTCAACTGTAAATTTCAACTCTAAATCCTTAAAATTGTGTCTGTTTTTGTAAATCGTCCCCAAAAATAATCAATGCACCTATTAGCCATACACATCCTGTTGAGGCTGGAGGCTCTCCCACTTTGGGTACATCCTGGACAGGCTGCTAGTCAGTCTCAGGGCTAATAACTCACAAACATCACTGTTTTCAAATGTGATTTTATTGATCATTTCAGAATGTGATGATGTTTGAAATTTAACTGTCCAACAATGAATTCTGAACAAATGTCACATCAATAAATTCAACAAAAGTTGCTTTACCACATGATGTGGAAAATTTATTTATTTCCCAAATAACAAAATGGTCAATCAAAAAAAAAAATCTTGCCCACGTACATAATAATAACATCGACTAAGACTACTGTATCAAAGCATCATCCAGCCCATCCTCATATACTGCTCCTCCTGTTTCTACAACATGCTAACTGTCACCAACCGGACAAAATTCACACGCATCACCAACCCAGCGGCCAAGATAATCGGACTCCCCACACCCAATCGCACAGAACTAAACAACAGGGCCATCTCACACATTGCAACCACAATAGAAATGGACATTACACACCCACACAACCAATATCTCACCCCACTGCCTTCTGGGCGGAGATACAGAACACTGAGGTGCAAAAGAGTTTGCTTTGGAAAAAGTCTGATTTGATTGTTTTTTGTGGATTTGTTGATTGTGGATGGCATGTTTCTTTGTTGTCTGTATACTCATACGTACACTGCGTGAGTAAACTAAAATTCACAGTTGTACGCCGCCACCATATTCCAGACCCAGACACCAGACTCATATACGACTCTTTCTTTTGTTTTCTCATGGCAGTTTTGGATGCAAAGCCTTTCTAGGGGCTGTAGGTGAAACTCACTCACTCACAGGATCACCATTAGCTAGGCACACTCCAATATGTTGTTTACAGTCATGTGATTCTGATGAAGCTCAAAATTCAGAATGAGGCACTAAGTTTAAGGCAGAATGGATGAGAGGGAAAGATGAAAGCCCGTACTGTGCTCATTGTTTTCTCATTGTGTCATCCCAGTCAACGTGTGAAATCTGGAATCACTTAATTCATTCTTAAATTATTTTACACCAGTTCCTGACTTATGACCAAGAATGTGGTTTATGAGGTCACAGTGACCTTGACCTTTGGCCTTTCGGCACCATAATCCCCTCAGTTCATCCTTGAGTCCAGGTTGATGTTTGTGCCCAACTTGAAGACATTCCCTCAAGGAGACCCTGAGATGTCATGTTCACAAGAATGGGACAGAGGGACAGACAATCCGAAAACATAATGCCTCCTGCCATGGCTATCGCAGGTGCGTAGGCATATTTGAACTCACAGTTATGAACCCTAAACTTTTGAGTTACATGTTGCTCAGGCAGTAAACAACTTACGTTATTAAAGGCCACTTAAGCCTGCCACTACTGATTCATTTGGTAAACCAATTAATTGTTTAATCCAAAAAAAAGTTAAGATACAACACAAATTATGCAAATGATTGCTATATAGAAACTATTGAAACTGCCAATCAACTCGTTAAAAAAAAAATAACCATCAGTAACAAACAGACTAGATGTGTACAGCAGCAACCACGTATAAAAAAAGTGATTGAAAATAATACTAATACAAATAATAATGATATATTATTATATATTATAATAATCATCATCCTCATCATCAGAAGAACTTTATTTATATAGCACCTTTAAAAACAGAGTTTACAAAGTGCTTTGACAGACAAAGTAAAAACAGGATACTCGGAGGGCAATATAACAACAGAGAGCCACTAGGGCCAAATAAAGGAAAGACAAAAAAACATGGTAGAGGGAAGATAGTGATGATTAAGTAATTAGTACAATGAAAGTGGCAGCCATTAAAAACAGTATGCAATTAAATATAAATATATAAAATACAACACATTTGTGTAACACATACTGCATAAAATCATCCAACATCTGTTTATGAAAAAATGGAAATTTCTTCACACACTTTTCAGAACATTTCAAATTTTTGGGTTTTTTTCTTCTTTTTATTAACAGTACAACATTTATCCTGTCTTTTTCAGTTTTAATGGAGTTAATGATATTTGTCATGGTTTTGTTTTAGTTACGACTGAAAGTAAAACAGTTTAAATCTACACAAATACATTTTTTGAATGACAATAAGGTGTGCATGTCCCACAAGATCAGGCTGCGCATCAAAGAAGTTCCCTTGCGGAACGGCACGGGTTGTTTCTGCTAACTACATCTTAAGAGGTACAGTGACATAATGTTTCATTTCAGTACCTGCCTGTACTAATCACTTGCACTCACCCTCCTTCTGCCTCCTGGCTCTGTGACCCTGTTAACTTTCAGCCAAAAAAAAGTGCCAGTTAGTTTACATATTAGGGTCACTCGTTAAATCGAAACACTGGCGAGCCGCAGGACGCAAGCGCCGGAAGTGTAGAGAGTTGGGATAACTTGCAGACCCGTTTGCGTTTCCAGTCCGACGTTTTCCAGAGCCAGTGAGGCGGAGGCTCCGTGAATATCTCCTGTGTGGTATTGTAATCCTGAGGGAGGGATACGGAGTAGCAGGGTTTCAGTCAGTGTTTCTGCTGTGTCGAGTCTCTACAGCGTCAATGCTCTGGGATACCTTATGGTTGTAAAAAACAAATACTGAACATGATGTGATGATGTGACGTTACATGTGGTTTTGGTGGTAGCTTGCCATCCCCCATGGTTGGTTTCTCAATAGCACGGTATTTCATTATTATGGTTATCACGACAACCCTAGTTATCCCCAGAGGTGCAGCACCAGAGCTAAAATGAATCAAGTTAAATTTACTATTAATTTAATTTATTAATTAAGTAGCTTCTGTTCGTCTTATTAAATGACTGAAGTTTGTTGGACTGAGGAGCATCAGTGCGTGTGATCAGAGTTAGAGATGTTCTGCACAGAGGAAGCTGAATCCAGTCCCAGCAGCGTCCCCAGGTAGGACTGGTCTCGGGGGTCCAGCATCTGATCTGGCCTCACAGGGTGGGCGATGTTGGCGGGCTGAGGGGTGAGAGTGTACTTCTCTAAAAATGCTAGATCTGTAGCGGCCTGGTAGCCAGAGGTCTGCTGCTGTCCCTGAGCCTGCATGCTCACAACACTATGAGTTTGGGAGGAGAGAGACGTCGAGGCCCGATGAGCGCTCAAGTCGCCCTGCGCTACTCCTGGAATCTGGACAGGAACTAAAGTGACGGGCACGCACACATTTGTAGGAGGAGGGGTGCTCTGGAGGGATGACTTAGCTTCAGCGCGGTATGACTTAGAGGGTTCCTCAAAAGGAACAGAGACTATTTTGTCCTCGCTGAGTGTGCCCAGGGGCTGCTCAGTAAACCGGGTGCTGTGCACGTGGTCAACGTGGTACTTGAGCTTGTCTTTTCTTTTAAAGGTGGCGCTGCAGTGGGGGCAGTTGAAAGGTCGAGCGTCCGAGTGAATCACCATGTGCTTTGTCAAGGTCTTCTTGATCCGAAATGTCTGGTTGCACTCAGGACATCTGTGGGGTTTTTCACCTGTTGGATGAACACAAGAGAACATCAGTGTTAGAATATTAATATCATTTCTATTGTACCCTCCCTTTATAAAACTGTAATTGATGTTTGATTGTTGTCCCAGGACAACGATTGTTCAGTCATAGCTTAGCATAGCATAGGCTGAAACTTCCGGAGCTGACTGCAGCCATTTTAGACAATGCACTGCAACGGGTTTCAGAAGGTCTATTTTTGACGGAAGCCACACCAAGCTGCGCAGAGCCAATCGAGCTGTGCAGGGAGTCAGACACAGGGAGAACATACAGCATCCGAAAAATGTTTAAACTTCCTGTTGTAAAAACAAGTAAAAAATAAATAAATAAAAAATGACTAAACAAAAAAAAATTTAGAAATCAGGGAAAAATGACCAAATTAACAAAATCCGAGCAAGTAAAAAAATAAATCGGGCAGGCAAAACGCTCAAACACTCTAGTGCGATATGAAGCCAAGCGGATACAAAATATCATACAGCCGTGCTCAGTGGAATCAGTGTGTAAGGGGCTCCAACAAGAGTAATACCCTGTAGAGTTTGAAGGGTTGTGTCTTTTGTTATAACCTTTCCAAAACCAGAAACTCAAGAGCAAATGTGGAATTAAATAAATTGTCTGTGTAACTGTGCTAATGTCAGCATACCTGTTCAGGACTGGAACATTCAGAGTGTGGGAGCCAAATATATATATATAATTAATTTGGCCAGCAAGTTCTCCTCAAAGAAAGAGAAGTTAGAGCTTCTCTGCCCAGCAATTGTTGGTAGGCTAGTTAAGTAACTTTTCAGCTAGCTAGCAAACAATGTCACATTTTGTTAGGAAATACAGAGCAGCCGAAAGCCACATAGACACATCCACTGACTTCTTTGTTTCCTCACCTGAGTGGGTCCTGAAGTGCATTTCTAGACTGGACTTTCCTTTAAATTCTTTCTTGCAAACTTCACACTGATGCACAGCAGTTTTATACCTGTGAACATGTTCCTCATTAATAAAGGGCAGAAACCAACAACATTTACCAAACTTTAAAGCTTATATTAGCAATTTTACATTAGCCACAAAAAAAAGAACAAGTGTGACTGGGATTTGTATGATAACATACTTCTGCCAAACTTTCTCTCCCAAATGAATGCTTTTGTAGTGGACGGTCAGGTGATCATGGCGCCTGAAGCACTTTCCACATTCTTCACACTGGTGTGCTTTCTCTCCTGAAATAAACATGGGTTAAGTTATTGTTACAAGAAACAAAATGAAATCTGTGTGAATGAGATAAAGCAGACACTGCCAAAGAAAGACACCTGAGAATGCCCCTGCTGTACGTCCTATACTGTACCTGAGTGGATTTTCTGATGTTTGGTCAGGTGATCATGGCGTATGAAGGTTTTCCCACATTCGTCACACTCGTACCGCTTGTCGTCATGGTGAACTCTGAGGTGGAGCCTGTTCAAGCAACAGTTTGATCATTATAGGCAACTCTATTAACACAGCCAATCAAACGGAGAGCTCGAGACCAGGGCCACAGCCAGGACTTTAGAAATAGTGAGGTCTTAAGGCTGTTGCAGATTGCATCTAACTGAACACTGCTTGCGTCTGTATTTGACAACCTGGGAATGAAAGCAAGCTGTGAAGGGTGGAGGAAAAACTATAGTGGCAGTTCAAAATTGTTGACTGGACATCTGTAGATAAAACGGCTCTTTAAGGCATTTTAAGGTAACGAAAATGCAACAATTCCTATATTCAGGTGATTATACACTAATGAAAACATACCTATGAATATTATATTCCATTTCTGGCAATAGATCCTCCTAAATGTTACACATTCAACCTTTAAAATCCTAAATAAAACACTGTACATGTGATTCTTTATGCAATAAAATAAAAACTCTTCACTTAAATATAGTGATAATGACTATATCCAAGATTCTGACACATGAAGGAGCAGCATTGGAGAGCAAAGGGAGTTAGGAAATCGTGTCATTTCAAAATCTTTAGCAGCACAATAACCCACATGAGACTGATTTCTCTGTCATACATGCACAAACACATTTATTTTGGACATATATGCCCTGATGATGATTCATCACCACAAATCTTGTGTATCTACCACTTTTGGAGTAGGTGCTAAAAAACAGTGTGACCGCAGCAAAGCAGACTAAAAGTTCATTCAAAGCTGCAGCTGTGTAGTCATCATAATGTATTAGCCTATTTACCACTGTGAATATTTTTGCCACTGACAACATCAGAGCAGAAACTCCTAATTGATTCTGTGCACAAAAGCTTGAACATGTGACGTTTTGAAAGCATTAATAGTTTGTGAACTCAGATCTTGAACAACTGACTTGTTGCGTGTAGGGACGTGTGCAACTTGTTACACGTAGGTCACATAATGTAACGAGTTGTGCACACAGAGCTGTTCAGCTGACATTCTCCTGATCATACACTTAAATCACGCCGATTTTTAAAAATCTAAATTATTCATAATTATCACCGGACTCACCTGTAGGAGCTGCCATGACGGAAACTTTGGCCACAGATACTACAGAGGTGAGGTTTCTCCCCACTGTGGATCCGCAAGTGCTCTCTCAGGGTTGTTCTGTAAGAAAAAACACTCTCAGTAAAGCAGCACAGGGTTAGACTTAGCATTTCAAAATAAGAGCTGTTAAAATAAGGAACGTGTGAGGAAAGGTTAGGGACAGAAAGATGTACCTTTCTCTTACGGATTTCCCACAAACAAAACAGGTCCACTTTCTTTTGCCTCCATGTGTACACTCAATGTGCCTCTTTCTGTTGCCTGTGTCATTAAACTGTCTGCCACAAATCTCACAAGGAAACGGACCTGAAAATGAGAAAGGACACAAATTCTTTCATCTAATGCTATCTATTGCTTCAGAAACATAGTTCCTGTCTGACTGCTGTAATCCACTAACAAATATCTCAGCGGCAGCAGTGACATTATTTTAAGGTTTTAACGGCTTTTCCATTCAATATAGGATGTACAGATGCAAAAACACCACATATTTTATCTTCTGAATTGTCACTGTAATATTGATATACTCTATTAAAAAGAGTAACGCTTTATTCTTAAACTGACAAGCTGAAGAATAAATATTCATTGGACATTTCTCACCTAAGTGGAACTTTTCTTGGTGCTTTAGCCTGGCAAACCTGGACTTGAAGTATTCGTCACAGAAGGAGCATTTAAAAGGCCGGTCTTGGGTGTGCAGGATCATGTGCTCCTGCAGATGAGGCCTGCGGGTGAAGGTCTTCAGACAAATCTGGTTCAGAAAGTTCAAAGGTTACAGACTGTTCAAATCTATTTGAACATTCCAGGTACAGTTCATGTTATCAGATTCTTAAAATAATCTGTGGTTCGTACTTAAAATCAGTTTGCATCAGCAAAATATATTGTGAATGAAACTTCTTACAGCACATTTCCAGCCTTCACTCTTCCTCTTCTTCTTGGTAAAAAACTCTTGGATGTGGTCTGGATGAAACCTGGCAGGACAGTGAAGATACATGACATCATCATATCAGATCTAGTGGAGGGTTAGCTCTACAAAATCAACAAGCCTGACATGGGTCATCACAGATATTATTATTATGGTATTATTACTGTATTGGCGTAGTATATATTTTTCAATATGCCTCTATTAGAAAAGATTTTTTACAGAAGATATATTGCAGAAAACTATGCTTGGGGTGATTTAAACATGGTATCATCACATAGTTTGTCCAGCAGAGTGCACTCCAACCCCGTTGTTTACAGTACTCTCAGTCAGTCTGCAGCATGTGCAGCAGAGTTTATCATAGCTGTGTGAACTGCATACTTGAAAGTTAATAAACAGTCATATATTGATGCAATATCTGCGCACAATCCACATATAAAAGCTCTATATAAATTCCAGTTCAAAAATTAATTATATAATCTGCCGCCATAACAGTAATTGAAACAGACTAGAACGTGTACTAAGAATTATCCTCTTTTTACTGACATTGTCATCATTTTTAGGACCCATACCACAGCCAGTAATAGAGTGCTGAGATAGAGAGAGATATTAATAGGTCAACTGATACTTTTGTATCACTGTGGTATTGGATGGTGCAAAGAATAAGCTCGAAAAGAACACGACTTTCAAAGAAGTAAAAAGTGAAACGTTATATAATGAACAAATGACCCTATGGTCACATGACTTCAACATCACCACCACTAAACTTACAATTTGTAATTAAATGGTGTAACTAAAATCTACAAGTGGGAAAGTTTGAGTTAGAAAAGTTTGCAGGAACACGAGTAAAAACACAGCGAGGCTGTAAAGGCAGACTAGTGAGTAGAAACGTCTCAGTGTCTGCCGCACTGACGTTTAATGTCACAGACAACCTCATTTAGCCACTTGTTAGCAACCGCGATTTTTTAAGACACATAAAAGCTTTAACATTCACAAGAGGGCTATTTAAAGACATATATTATGTCAGAGAACAAAACATGAAACACTCTTCAGCTTGTATTCACCACAGACCTTATTTCAGGCATCTAACCACAAACCCACTGACTTTGAGAAAAATGCTGACTCATTACTGCAGCGCTCTACTTACTCATGTTAAAGGACCAGGATTAGTCGGATTTAGTGGCATCTAGAGGTGAAGTTGGAGATTGCAGCCAACTGAATACCAATCCATTTAAAGCATCTCAGTAAAACTATCAATATTGTTATTTTGTACTATTGACAGGCCTTGTTTTAAGGAAAACACCTATTACACCTAATATAGTACAACTAGGAAAGCTCCTTTGTAAAACAAAAAAACATAAAATATAATACAAAATAAAATAATAAATAAACAAAATAATAAAAATAAAATAAAAATTGCTTCCTTGCCAACAAAATATTTTAACAAGACAACTTAAATACATAAATAAAGTTGTGTGCAATTCAGATGAATATTGATTGTCATACAGCAAGATACTACAGTTAGCTAACTGATGATGTTATCTAAACACCAAACTGTAATATCTGAACTAGTGCAAACTGATTTAAAAACACAGGAATTACCAATGTTAACAGAGTTTAGCTCAGATGACCCAGTTGCACCTTTTATCTGAGAATATGTGTTTATAATAATATTTAATTGTGTAGCCTGGCACCAGAGGTAAACTTAATAACCACTGTAAAATAACTGGGAAGGTAGATTGTTCTTCACTGGGGAGACTGGATGTTGTGAGATGCTGCAATGTCTCACCTCCTGACATGCCTGGCCAGGGTTTTCTTGCTGGCATGGAGTTTGCTACAGAAGGGGCATTTGTGTTCCTTCTTCTGTAAGGGAGCATCGCTGGTGTGCTTCTTCTTGTGTACAGTCAGGTTAGACTTGGTGGAGTAGCGCTGAAGACAGACATCACACTGGAATGGTTTCTCTCCTGTGTGCACTCTGGTGTGACTCTCATACTTCCCTAAAAAGCAGGAAAGGTGCGTTAGTTAATACATTTGATTAGTGACGTTTGTCAATAAACACATTACTATGACTACTGAATTTTGAAATATCAGCAGCTTAAAATAATAAAAAAATAACTGTTAGTTGAGGCTGGGCATGGAACAATATGAAAATGTCATGCTACGATTATCTTGGCCATCTTGGTGATACACAATATCATCACGATAATCATGAAAATATACCTCATACTTTTAAAATGGCACAAAAACATACCAGAATCACTTTGCCTAACTTTTTTTTTTTTTTTTTTTTTTTTTTTTACATTACAGCACCTCATCTCCCTGGAATCTATACTATTGCCACACATCCGGTTTTAACCTTTTTTTGTGGGGATACAACGGACAAGCTGAGCTGTCAGTTTAGGATTTTGGATTGACTGGACAGATTTGGGCTCCTCCTTCAAACCAATATAGGACTGTATGATATGCATGCGAGGTAGACAGCTTTTTCAAGTCAAGCCATGTGAGGATAATCACGATTATCCTAAGTGTTTTTTTAATCGCGATACGTGATGATATTGTATATCGTCCCTTCCCTAGTTGCGGCCCTATCCTCCAACCACGTAAGATAGAATTTTGAAGTTTTGTAAAAAATAGGTAAAACTAGATATTCAATAAAGACTATTCTAATGTTTAAACATCTCAGTCTGGTATGGTGAGCTAACTGAGAAGCACTAATATAAGATAAGATAAGAAAACCTTTATTTGTCCCGCAATGGGGAAATTGCAGTTTGCAACAACATACAGAAAGGGCAGAATAAGAGATAACAAGAGCAAAGAGTAGCTTATAAAAGATAAATACTGAAATAAAGTAGCATTGCTACTACAAAAGATAAAATCAATGATAACACTAATAATCTAGACCTTACTCCATGGTTCCTACCTGCGCGGTCAAAAATCTTGTCACATTTGGGGCACTTGAGAGTCTTCTTGGTGGAGGTTTGGATGATGACTGGAGCCAAACCCTCGGGGTACACTGGACTCTGGGTGGAGCTTCCTGCCGCTGGCCCGTCCACCTCCACCTCTCGGACAGTCTGGTGCTCTGCCCCTTCTACATCTGCACTCTGGCCTGCCGCGCAAACCTCAACAACTTTCTGGGCAAGCATGTCCTCATTCAGGTCTAATTCCTCTTCCTCCTCATCCCTGTCGGCTACGTCTTCCCCCTCAGCCGGTTTAGATGTCTCGTTAATGTCCAGTTTGGGCATTTGGTTTACTCCGCCGACATTTCCTGCTTTTTCCACTCTTTCTTCATCTTGCTGTCTTAGTGATACAGTCCTTTGTGTTCCCTCAGGAGGGTTGATAGTGTACTCCACATTGTCTCTCTGATACTTGGTGGGTGTTCTCCTCCTGCGAGCTGACCTCCGTGTGGTAGGAGTCTTCTGACCTGCCGTATTCTCGTTCTCAGCTGAAGCGTCCTGCTGTACATCAGTGTGACTCTCAGCCAAGTGGTTCTGTAGGGAGCTTTCAGTGCTAAACTGGCGACCGCACATGGTGCACTGAACATCAGACGGGTTCTGGATGTCTGTGTCATCTGCTGGCGAGTCACTGGAGGTCATTTCTACTTCAGGAGACCCTGTGATCTCATCCTGTATCTGGACCACACATAATGGGTTGTTGTCCCCTTCTTCACACAGCAGCTTTAGTATATCCATCATGTCCAGGAATCGGGCTGCTTCAGTTAGAGCTGGGAGGTCCGACTCTGCGACGACACACTCAGAGGTGTACAAAAAGCCAAGCAGGTGCTGGAAAACAGAGTTCTCCACATGGTCCAGAGTCACGTGTGCTGTAGTAGGGTTCTTGGACAGCTCAGCGTGGAAGTAGCTGCTCCCGTGGGCCAACACCACCTTGTGGGCACTGAAGAGCTTCCCACCCACAGACACAGACACATCGCAGAACCTCTGACGGGCCCGGTCCTCATTCAAGAACTTGAGGAGGTTGTGACTGTGCTGCGACATAGCCAGGTGCCTGATGTGCAAGGTCGATTCTGGGACAGGTTCAGAGTTTGGTGTGGCGTTGGAGCCCAGGACAGTGCCGGGCTCTAGAGCACATTCATTACTGGCACTGACCTGCCGGCTGCGTCTGGGACGCAGAGGATTACAAGGCTTTTTCTTCATTGGTATATCTGTTGGGCTACAATGAATGACTCCTGTAAACACAGAGGAATAGAAACATCAGTGCTAATCAAGTGATGGGGTTTTTATTCAGACTTGATAGGATTGGGATACTCAAGGGGTTAGACAAATGGTTTAGCATGTAATCGTACCCGACTGTAACAACACAACAATAACAGCATGAAGCTGGCCTGAAGGGGAAACTTATAAGATGCACAATAACGGCTTAGAGCTAACGTATGAGGTGTATTTCTCCCATTGATACAAAGGACAACCAGTTATTATGAACACTGTCCTCAGTAGACAACACAGGCCGGACAGACATGTGGAATAATCTGGAACCAGAAGTACTGCTGTCCTGTGTTAGCTCCCCACCTCAAGGACCCCTAACATTACGGTATGTGTGTCGGGCGGGCCCCCCTCCGAGGAGAGTGTTGACAAACGACCCTTGCTGCTACCCCGGAAACTAACCTTCAATATCGGAGCAGGTTTGTTTTATTTTTAAATACCGTACCTTACCTTAGAGACATGGGCCGCGTTTACAAAGCACTGTACGCTCCAGCTGAAATAAGTCATGTGTAAAATAAACGGAGGAAACATAATTTCCTGATGTCTGTAACGCCCCACCCTCCCATCCTACCAGAAATGTCGGACACCGTAACAAACCGTTCGCTCATTGGCTGGTTCAGCTTTTGTCCTCTGAGGCTTTTATTTAGAGGCGGAAACACAAACACAGGGGACAGATAGAGAGAGACACACACACACACACACACACACACACACACACACACACACACACACACACACACACACAAGCACAAGCACTGTTAGTTAATTCTGTATGTTTAACGAGGAAGACGTTGTTGAGGTTCACGCGAGTGTTCAGGAGAGCATGGTATTATGGGTAATGTAGTCTGAAAGCGTTACTCCTACAGTGGTGGGAAGTGAATTATTCTGCAGCATGTAGGATTTATAAAGCATTGTGTATAAAACTGTAAATACATCATTTATAATGTGAAGGTTTATTGGCCTGTGGAAACAAACTGTTCTTGCAGGTATCTGGTAGTTTTGGCATACAGAGCTCTGTAGCGCCAACCAGAGGGCAGGAGTTGGAACAGGTTGTGTCCGGGCTGTGATGGTTTCCTGACTATGAACATGTATATAAGTTCTGAATGGAAGGCAGAGGAAAATACTGTACTTTTTAATCCATTGCATATGTCTAACAGCTAAAGTTCCAAGTTTTAAAATAAACTATGCAACTAATAATAATAAAGTCTTTAAATTAATATAAAAAAATAAACCTATAATAACCATATCAAATATAATGTGTTTGTATACAGTAAATTAAACCACCCAACATTATATAGAATGAGTAGGTGCAGCCAGTTACAACATTAAACTACTGCTAACATGTTATTACTAAAATAGTAATGTAACACTGACAGAGCCCATTTTGGGTACTTTTACTCTTAAACTTAAAGAACATTTTGTTGATAGTACCCAACTAATTTTACTTATAAATAAGAATTTGAATGCAGGATTTAAAATTGTAAACAGATTCATTTTAAATTGTGGTGTTTATACTTTTACTTTAATGAAATATCTTACTTATACTTATTCTTTTTTTCATTCTATCAGGATGTCACATTGAGATTGAGACTTCATTTACAGGTGAAACCTGAGCACAAAGTAAAACTAGAATAGAATAATGAAAATATATTTAAATATAAATACATGTAAGCAACAGCATGACAAATTATAAATGATCACATTAAAAATATACTTGATGTAGGTATAAAAAGAGTCTTTTCAAAAACAAATACAAGAATATTAAACAGGCCCTTCTTAAAATCAATAAAATCTCTCACCACATTTTTGAATAGCCCAATCAATATCAGTGTGTTTTTTATTGCATCGCTGGTCTATCAATTTAAATATGTGTGCAAATAGACAGTTATATTTGTTAAAATACACAAATGCTCTAATGATTAACCTTATACATAGTTGGTTTATATATATATATATCTGTAACATACTGTGGGTGCCAGTGTAAAACCTCAGCTAGACCAACTGTAAACAAATAACGCTAAAAAAAAACAGTAAGACAATTAGTATCACTAATTAGCAGCTCTGATGATGACATCAGTCACGTTGAGAGAGATACTTCCTAGATTAGAACCACTAAGTTTAGTTCTTTCAAATCCTGGGCCGGTCCAGCTGTCTGCTGTACTCGGTAGTACATGTGTGCATGCATGTGCACAATTTCACTTAGGTCCATGTTTCAGTGTGTGTATCAGTTGAATTGTGGGAATATTCCCATTTACAGAAGACTGAAATTTTAATAAAGAGAGACTGAATTTCAGTTTGTGTCCCTGCTCAGATGAGGTTCACCATCTGTTCCAAAATCTATTTGGTTTCAACAGGTGGACCTCAGTTGTCACTAATATAAGTGCACATCAGAGTTCTGTTTAGAGAAAATGTTTGGAGTTGCTCAAATTAGTCCCCTGGATGAACCCCTCCCTTCACCAACACATTTAATTTGTAAGACATTGTAAGTGCATTAGCTTAATCCCGCCTATCTGGCTTGCAGCGCGCCAAGCATTTCAGTGAACTCAAGCATGCACTGAGGAGCTGAAGATGGAGCTGCACACACAGGCATTCTCTACCTGTCTTTGACCTAAGATGAAGATATTGCCAAACATCTAGTAGCCTGATTTGGAGGACTTGTTAAGGACAATGTCGAGATTCAGCATGCATGTGTGGATGTTATGGTTGCTTTATGCAGGTAATGTTTGGATAGAGTCTGTATGTTGTAATCAGAGCTCTATATTGTTTGCAAATGTTTATCATATCTTTTAGCGAGTATAGCTGCAGATGTGCTGTGCTGTTTTAATACGTTAACAACTGGCATATTTGTTGTGATTGTCAACTTACTTGATGAACATCACATTTGGAAATACTGTTTGGCTGAGGCGTCCAACAAGTGTTAAATAAAATTAATTGACTCTTACACACACATTTGTTTGCTGAACATGTGCTACAGTACAATGTTTGGTTGTTTTAAGAAGCACTATTGGATTGTATTTGTCTCTCCAGGCACTTTCTCCGACGAGGATGTCAGTGGGTGTGAACAGCAGCCATGCCAAAATGGTGGTGTATGTGAAAGCCACATTGAAGGTTTCAGATGCCATTGCTCCCAACAAAGCCAGAACGGGCGCCTGTATGGGGGAGGGACCTGCACAACTGCACTTTCAGGCTGTGATGATAACCAGTGCGAGAATGGGGGAATATGCTCTCCCTTACTTGTCAATGACCAGCACACTTATACATGCATCTGCCTTGCTGGCTTCACAGGCCCTAAATGCCAGACCCCCACCGTCTTCTCATTTGAGTCCCGAGGCTACATGTACATCGAGACTCAGCTTTTAGATCCAGAGGCTCCTCTTAATGTGACATTCAGCTTTAGGTCAGCAAGACCAGTTGGCACCCTCTTGCAGCGCAGAGTGGACGACCTTCTCCTCAGCATTGAGCTGATGGACGGGCATCTCTGCCTCCGTAGCCTAAGAGGTCAAGGCTCCAGCACGCTGGTTCAGGAGCTGCCAGAGTACTTGTCCAACAACAGGTGGCACACGGTGGAAGCGTCGCTGGGTGGCGTGGTCAGTCTCATCAGGCTGCACTGCACTGAAGGAAGCTGCTCCAGAGACTCCAGCACTAAAGTCCAGCTGCTCGAACAAGCCTCTGCTCTCCCCAAGCCAGGAACAGTTCGTCAGAGCCTCTTCATAGGAGCAGTCGGGGGTAACTGGGGTTTGGGCAGAGCAGAGGATGAAGCGGACCACCCGCCTGCTTTTCTGGGCTGCTTCAGAGATGTGTTTGTGGACTCACATCTGGTGTTGCCTGTTATTGTGCCGGAAGATTCAGACGCCCAGGCAAACATCACTGCAGGATGCAGCGACAAAGACAAGTGTGATGACAGCCCGTGTCAGAACCGGGGCCGCTGTGTGAGCCAGGGCTGGAGGAGCTACGTGTGTGATTGCCACAGGCCGCATGAGGGAAGCAACTGTGAAGAGGGTAAGACGTATACATGCACTGTAATTACCCCTACATGCCATTTCCACTTTATTGAAACAAGATTACATGTCTCAGAATTAAGTCAACCGCTGCAGGGGTTCAGTTCCTATTAACCACAACTACTTAAAGGACCAGAGCCCAGAACTGACTAACCAAACATTAATTCTAGATAGGGCCTTTTGCGGTTTAACGTTGAAGCAGCAGCCATCGGAGGTTCTCCTACAAGCTTGGACGGGTGGCAGGGGTGAGGGGGGGTATTTGGTTGTTTGCAATCTGCAATCTCACAGCTAAATCCTACACACTGGTTCTTAAAGCAATGGTCTGGTGTGTAACAATTAGGCCGAAATTTAATATATAATATTCATTGGTTTGTTAGTTCATTAGTGTGTAATCACATGAAAATAAGAATCGCTGTCTTTGGTTACTGTAGAATGAGCCGTTTTTATCTACAGAGATCTTCCTCCACTGAGGCCGCCATGTTAATCCGCCTTGTTTCTATAGTTGCCCAGGACAGTTTCGCAGCCACCGTACTTTTTCCTTCACACTTGCACAGGCAAACAGTATTCAGTTTGTTACAACCCGCATCTTCACTGCGAGATGCTATTAAATCTTACACACTAGTCCTTTAAGTTTCAAAATAAGAGCTTAAAGGGCCAGTATGTAACATTTAGGGGGATCCATTGGCAGAAATGGTACAGGTATATACACAATGGTCCTTTAATTTTCTTATATTCACTTGGAGGAGTTATCACCACTTTTGGTACCTCTAAGACATGTTGCTTAATTTATAAAATACATAGTGGGGCAATGACAAAAGAGAGTTACCTGAGCATCATAAAACTGACTTGTAATGTGTTTGTCTGACATTTTGCTTTAATAGAGTAGCTCTCTCTGGCATAATATGTCTTATAGGATGGATCATATTTCTATAAACTAGAATGAGTTACTGTAGATTATGTCTACAAATGTGTTTACTTTAACTTTTTTAATTAATTGCGGCTTTTAAATGACACATGCAGAATTATATGCTCTAAAAACAGGCAGAGGTCAAGTGTCACTGCAGAAATTTTAATGGTTAGCCATAAAGAGAGCTGCCCTACAGGATGATAAAGTCGGTCAGTAGACTTTAAAGAAGCTTACAGTCCTAGTAGAAATAGCACAGTTATGCAATTAGGAGGCAATCGGCAACACCTGGGCTGAGGATTAAAAAAACGTGGGTTTCAGTAGCTCACCTGGAACGTTCACTTGACAAATCAGGGAGTCTTGTGGACTCACACAGAGGCATTTTCATTGGTTGGTTGGTATTCTAAGCAGGATCTTCACAACACTAGATGCCACTAAATCCTACACACCGGACCTTTAATGGAACCGTTTGACATTTTGGGAAATATGCTTATTCACATTCTGGTGGAGAGATAGATGAAAACATCAATACAGTACCACTCACATATATGTCCGTTAAATATCTACAGCCAGTAGCAAGTTAGCTTAGCTCAGCATTAAGATTGTTTACTTTTTAAACAAATGAGATATACCTATTAATTAGTGAGCTATCTTCGAACAGAGCTTGGCTAGCTGTTACCCCCTGTGCCCAGTCTTTAAGCTACGCTAACTAACCAGCAGCCAACTGTAATTCTAACTCTCAGCAAAAAAACAAATAAGGGTATTTACTGAACTGTCATACTACTCCTTTTAGATGTACCTTTCATCAGGTTCTATGTAAGTTTGATTTTCAGGGCTTTTCTCTTTCTTTCTTTATACCCATGCAGATTACATCACTGCAAGGTTTGGAAACAAAGACCTGGAGAGTTATGCTTCCTTCTCGCTAGACGATGACCCAGGTGATCCTGTGACTATATCCATGTTCATTCGCACCAGACAGTCAAGCGGCCTGCTCCTAATCCTGGCCAACAGCACCAGCCAGTACCTCCGCATGTGGCTGGAAGAGGGCTGGGTCAAAGTTCAGGTCAACAACTTTGAGACCCTTGCTGGTCGGAGTGAGGTTAGTGACGGCCATTTCCATCTGGTGACTCTAAAGCTGGAAGCAATGGAAGCCATCTTGTTCCAGTCAGCCCAGAACCAGGGCTCTATGCACATTAGGCCAATCCAGGCCCATCCTGGAGATCAGGTTTTTGTTGGGGGGCTACCAGACTCAAGGGCCACTGCCTCGTTTGGTGGCTACTTTAAGGGATGTGTCCAGGATCTGAGGATTAACAGCAAACGGCTGCAGTTTTATCCCATTACAACTCTAGTGGAATCTTACAGCCTGGAGCAACTCATCAACGTTGCACAAGGATGCAGCAGTGACAATGCCTGTGCTGTGAGTTATATCAGTGCTGTCATGTTTATGATACTGTCTTTAATGAGTTGTGACACAATTTCATTCCTTGTCTGCACTAATAATGATGGACGTCAACGTAGAACTGACAGTAGGCTATAGGCTTGATTGATTTGGGCTATTTTCTCGTCATTAGGTCAACCCCTGTCTCAACGGAGGAGTGTGTTACTCCATGTGGGACGATTTCATCTGTAACTGCCCCCCCAACACAGCAGGGCATCGCTGTGAGGAGGTGAAATGGTGTGAGCTCTCTCCCTGCCCCGCCACTGCTGTTTGTCAACCCCACTCTCAGGGCTTTGAGTGTGAGTGTCCTGAGTTGAGTTGATGACCTGCTGTTGCACTATTCTGTCTTAGAAAGAACACTGTCTTAAAATACATGACCGTGGGATAACAAAAAGTCCCTAAGACTCCCTAAGAATGGGCAAGGAATAGGCTCTGTGCTATGTTAGATTGCTATTGCTGACACACTGAAAACACTGCTAAGAAAAAGGAGTCATAGTAAATGTGTAAGCCTTATATTATAATAGCCTATTTCTGATCTTGGTTTGTATCCACTGAAGGGACTGTCTGCAGCGTGCCGTCCCTTCAGGGCACTAACTGGTGCAGGCGCTGATTAATTACAGTGTGGCTGATTACAGAAGGGAACAGGGTTGAGGCAGGGATCCTACACAGGACTCCTCTAAGACGTGCTAATCCCTGGTCAGATTAAGTCTACCGCCACATGCCTGTGGAAGTTTATGATGACAAGTCTTCCTGGAGATGTCACATGTTCACAAAGAGAAAAGGAGGGGAACTGTTGATCCAGACTAGCTGCCAGTCCAAGCCTTTTTTGGCATGAAATGTGTTTTTCATGCCATTAAAGGCCTGTGTTTGTACACATACTCAGCAAACTACTTTTGCTCACTTTTCTGCATTCGTCTACCTCTTTTCTCCTCTCCTGCTTTTCTCGTTGTGTTATTACTGACCTGGTTTGGAAGCCTTTTTCAGCGTTTTTTTTGTGGATTCCTTGATGTCACATTGCTGCCAATGACCCAGCAGATGACAATATGCAGACAAAAAAACACTAAAATAAAACAGAAGTTTTTAATTAGTTTCATACCTACCGGAACACACAGTGTTAAGTCAAAGTTGGAGCAGTTTTGGTCATTTTACATTTCTGTATTTATGTTTTTGTCTGTGCTCTTCTTGCTGGCTTATAGTGGGTGGGGCTCAGTGGAAAAAAATATGAAAATGTGGTGTAACATTCTACCATGCATCAGTGAGAATTGAAAACTGCAGTAATTAGTGACATTTCATTTCAGTTTATTAAGTCTCTTCCATTTCTCTCACCCAGGTTTGTCTAATGTGACATTCCGGGTTGAAAGCAGCATTTTGCACTACGGGAGTAATGGGAAGATAAAGCGCAGCCTCAGCAGTGTCTACCTTAGCTTCCGCACAAGACAGTCCGCTGCCACTTTACTTCATGCACAAAAAGACTCAGACTACCTCACGGTCTCCCTCCTGGACTCTCATTTGGTCATGGAGCTCCAGACTGGGGCTGACAAGGATGCCCCCAAGCTGACAGTTCAAAGCCAGGGTCCAGTCAGTGATGGAGAGTGGCACACTGTGGAGCTCAGCATGGAGAACCAGACACTCCAGACCTCCAGGTGGATTATGGCTGAGAATGGAGGCAAGGATGAGCTAAGCATGTCCAAAACAGCTGCGGGGGATCTGGAGTTTCTTAGGGAGGGAGCAGACATCTTTCTGGGGGGACTGACCCTGGACTCAGAAGTAAAGCTGTCTGGCTGTCTAGGCCTGGTGGAGATTGGAGGCCTTCTTCTCCCTTTCCACCACGACACAGAGCTGAACCTCCCTAGACCCCAGGAGGAGCAGTTTGCGAGGATAAACAGCAACGCTGCCCCACAATACGGCTGCTGGGGAGCCAGTGTGTGTGCACCCAACCCTTGTGAGAACGAGGGTGTGTGTGAAGACCAGTTTGACCTGCATCACTGCACATGCCCCTCCGAGTGGACAGGGCCACTGTGTCAAGAGTCAACAGACACCTGTATTTCCAGCCCCTGCATATACGGCAACTGCACCAACTTACCACAGGGATTCAAGTGTGTGTGTGAGCTGGGTTTCACTGGTGAACAGTGTGAGGTGGAAGTTGATATGTGTGAAAACAGCAATTGCGGCAACGGTGCCACATGCCTCAAAGGTTTCGAGAACTACGCATGCCTCTGCCCTCAGAATCTGACAGGCCAATATTGCGAGTGAGTTCTTCCACAGTTTATTAATATCTCTGTGACATCAAACCTACAGTAGCATACACCTAAAATAGGTTAGTAAGTTCTGAGCTCTACTGACCTACAAACTGGTCTCTTACAGTGACAAAATTCCTGAAATCCCATGGTACATTGAGACCAATCCGTAAGTGCTGTCACATAAAATAAACACATTTTAAACAAAGTAAATAATCAATCCAACAGTGCAAAATAGGAGGGCATTGACATTTCTTGTTGTTTGTCTCTTTAGGCTTCCTCAGTTGCCTGTATCGACATGCATGGGTACAAGAAGGAACTACAGCTGCTTTAATGGAGGGAACTGCTCTGAAGCAGAAAACACCTGTCACTGCCTGCCTGGTTTCACAGGACAGTGGTAGGACATGCATAATGATATTTAATCTTCTTTACCCTTAGGTTGTGACCCAGAGGTTTCTCAACCCCGGGGGTAGGCACGTAATGGGGTCACTCGATATGCAGACAGGGTCACTCAGATTTTTAAGAAGGATATATTGACATGTCTGATTGGCATTAATTGGCATTAAATTGATTTGTTAACACCTCTACACTTGAGAATATTAAAATCAGGGTCACACATGCCAGAAAAGGTTGACAAAGCCCCTGGGTCTGTGCTTAAAGCTGGGATAGTCAGTTTTTTTTTATATTAACATTAGATTGAACGGCCACTGAACACTGCCTACTCAGCATAAAGCTGCAGACAGGAGAATTTAGCAACTAGTGGGGCAACACAGAGACCAAAGACAAAGGTTTCAAAAGGCCTTACATTGATCGGGTGGTAGATGTGCAAATAAGCCACTGTTTGCCATATGGTGATAATATGTTACCACCATTGTTTCCGCTGCCTCCAAGTGGCCAACAAAATCTCTTACTGTAACTTTATGTTTTCCATTAAGATTTTGTGTAAAATGTCAACACTTTATTAAACTTACATGTACAGTACAATACCACAACCTCTTTTCCATTCACAACTATTAGAATGGTCCACCACCACTGCGGCTTAACAGGCAGATAAAAGCTCAGGGTCCTACCTACTGTCAGTGGGTCCTACACATGTGCTCTGTCAGTTTATCTGGGGCAGTTCGGTTCCAACTAACGTCTAGTTATGTCTTACATGGTGCTTTTTCTTGTTTTTGTTCCATAATTGATTTTATAATTTACATGATATAATTAATAACTTATCATTTATGTTCTATTGTTTTTCTGTTTTCTCCTATTTTTTCTTCAAGGTGTGAGAAGGATGTGGATGAATGTGCCTCGGACCCATGTATGAACGGAGGCTTCTGTATAAACTACGTGAACAGTTTTGAGTGTGTGTGTGATATGAATTACTCAGGGATACACTGCCAAATGGACGTCAGCGACTTCTACTTGTACCTCTTCTTGGGCCTGTGGCAGAACCTCTTCCAGCTGGTGTCCTACCTTGTCATACGCTTAGACGATGAGCCCGAAATTGAGTGGATATTTCACGTCAATGATTAGGCCCCTCGCGGTCTATTATGCTCAAACTGGACTGAACTTGGTCTAGATAGAGCGTCACACTGAAGCACATTTGAACAAATGTAGCAGATATAGTGCCTAAAATTGAGGCAATATATTCTCATTAACCTGCACACAGCACATCAGCTGGTCTGTGGTGTTTTTTACTGAAGGGAAGAGCCACAACATCTGGAATTTATATTTGTTATGTCTTGTTGGCAGATACATGTCCACATAGACATTATGAGCAAATCCATCTACCTACGTGGTCTCAGTGGATAAGGGAAGTTCTTCTGTAGCCTGTAAAACTGGATTAACATTAATTTTGCTGTCTAGTAACTTGATCCCCATTGCAAAAACAAAGTGAACCAAGCCTTGATCCAGAACCCATTCCCAGTCCTTTATTTATGTTAGATTAACCACTTAATTTCTTTTTATGAAGTTACACCCACAAAAGTTTTTCTAATCTCAGCTCTCTACAAAGGAGTAAGTTCCAGACCAAACGAGACAGGGAACAGTTGCAATAAATATACATTGTTTGAAACTGTATTTCATTGTATTTAGCGTATTGACGTCATTAATAGAAATGTTTCTGTTGTGACATTTGTTTGGTAATGAATATTAAACCATATTTATTACAGTATATTAATGCATTTATCTGGTTCTCAAACTGAAAACCATACATTAGTTTGTACTGTGCCTTAAATGTTCCACTTCTCTGGATATTAATAAAATACCTGTCTAGAGCTAGGAAGTTGTGTATTTACAAATATGTACCTAATATAAATTGATAAAGGCTATTCTGCATGCAGTGCATACAGTACCTGGTCTGTACGATGAAAACAGAAAATAAACTGTGAAATATTTGCAAACTGTCTGCTTTTATTTAAAACTTTATATACATACATACTTCTATTATGCAACAAACAAAAATAATAACTTGGAGACCGATTCCAGTTCACACAACTTAATTTTCTTCACAAACAAAATACACATAGCTTCTATTAGGTCATCTGGTGCTAACAGGTAAATTATGACACAAACCAATGTCAAATGATGCTAAATTAGACTTGTAAAATGTGCAAATAAGGTGTTCAAATATTTGAACAGAAAATAAGTAACACCTAAACACAGACGTGGACCGTGACACATCAGATCCATTTCAACAGGCAGTCCATTCAGTAAGGCTCTGTTGGTGCGCCGTAGACTCCAAGTCCAGGTCTAATGTCTTCTTAAATAGCATGCCTATTTAAATATCGATCATATAAATACAGTAATCATACAAGGGTTATGATGTAGTATGAACAGTGCACCTGATTCTCCTACTGGGGGTCAGCCACAGTGTTGCAAGGCTGTTACAGAGCTGCTAATGAAGCCCTACACAGAGACAATTTTGGACTGCTGTTTACCTACCCTAATCAGAAGCAGCACACGTTATCGTTATATCAATACATACACACAACTTTAAGATACTAGTCAGCCCTGTTCATAGAGCTTACAGTCACAGAGCTCTTTGTAGATCCGCTTGCGTATCTTTGGTATGTCCTTCTGTGAAAACTGCAGAGGTTCTCCCAGGGCAAGGCATCTAGAATACTGTAAAAGAAAACAAAATACAGTTATTACGTAACCCAACACGATACTGACTGAAGTCATGTGTATTAGGCCTGAAAAACATGTTGGTACCTCCAGGACAAAAACTCCACAGTCATTTTCATTGGTCTGTTGTGGGATTTTCTGTAAAAGGACAGCAGGGGGAGACAGGACATCACATCAGTGAGTGTATCAGGTGAAACTCCAGCAGGTGGAGCTTTTAGCCCCTGATATGGCCTTTTACGGATCTTGTTTTGTTGCTTTGTGACAGCAGTTTCTCTAGTCTATCATTACAGGCGATAACATTAAGATAACACACCTCATCGAATGACACGGCCCAACCACTTTCAAATGCTGTTTGCTTCTTCTCCTTCGCTTCTGTCATCAAGTATTTCAGAATGTTCTGTTATAAAGGCAAGCATAAAGAAGAAAAACTATTTTACAGATAAGAACTTGAACATCTCCAGGAAAAGCAACTCAAATGTGCATTCGCGTAACAAAAAAAACAACATGAAATCTGCTTTTACCCTTGCAACCTTCTGGAGTGCGTTCCCTTGAGAGTCGTAAAGGCAGATCTTCTTTTTGACAATGTCAGCTGTCACCAGACACCAGTGAACCTCCAGGTGAATGGGCACCAAAAGCAAACTCTTAGAGAACAAATCCACCTGTGCAAGAAAGACAGGGTTAAAGCCACTGTTTTCTCTTCATTTAAGTCAGTCTTGTCTCATAATATTTAGAACATGCAGACTTAGAATTGTACTTATTCTTTCATTTTTTCCAAATCTACAGCAGTAAACAATATTACAAACGCAGATACACGATCACACCGCTTCCATCTTAGACCTAACCTGCTTTGTCCATCTCTTAACACCATCATATCCTTTAGTCATGAGCTGCCTGTGGAAGAAGCTGTTGAGAAAATGGACCTAAGAGACAAAAGGAGATAAAAATGACATGTGTAAGTTTGTCTTTTTATATTATAGAAATATTATATTGTGTAAGCTTTAAAAAAAAAAGAAACAGATGATACAACATAACTAAGCAACAGCTAAATAGTTACACATGCCCCTCGGGTAGGGTAAATTATAACATTTCACAGATGGTACAGCAGCAGCTTTTCATTAATTGCATCCATTTTGTAATACATAACGTAGAGACCTAATTTGTTGATATATGTCAATCTAGCTTATTGCGATGTGCTAATGTGCAGAAAGCTAATAGAAAGGGCAACCATGACAATGGAACTATAAATAGGAGTTAATAAGCCTCCAGTGTTGATTTTTCACCCTAACTTGGGAAGAACGTACACATATCTGGTGCAACACACTGAGCCTGATAGCACTTTGAAACTTGTTTTTGTCTTTCAGTTCAGAGATAAAGAAATAGGACAATTCTACGACTGTGATCAAGATTAAAGGCAAGTTTTGTGATTAACTAAAGGAAAAGTTTGACATTTGAAGAAAAGACCAAACCAAAGACTTACAACCACTGGTCGCCTAGCAACCTCATGGTAATGACAAGTCTTACTAACCCTGGTAGGTATAAAAAAATAAAAAAAAATAAAAACACAGGCCACTCCAGAAGAATCTTAAGATTGTTACATAGCCTTTAAGATTACCTTGTGAAGGGCAGATTCCATAATCAATTCTCCATACATGTTCATGACCTTAAGCAGAAACAGAACATGTATAGCAGTTACAATCAGCATGACATGCATGTTTTTTGATCATTGCATAATCTTTCCACTCAAAAATCACTGAAATTCTTGGTGTGTTAGATGCTAACCTGGTCGTTGAGCCAGTTCTGATCTGCCAGTGTAGACAAGTCATCAAGTGTCAGTGTGTGTTTCTTGTAGACCACCCGGAAGGAGGGAACAGAGTTCTGAATGACCACAGTTCTGTATTTAGTAACTTCGGTGAAGATGATGTTTTTCCTGCACAGGTAGGGAAATACAACACAATTGGTCCAGGAATAAAACCACCACAGATACCACTCTGAACGCTCACACACAGACTGCATCTAAACAGTACGGCTGTAGTTGTCAACAGGCTTTAATCTTGCAAACAGAGAGAAACATATGATTCAAAGTGATTCGGGACAGACTGATTTAGATTTTACCTGTCAGTGAAATCAACATTAAACCTCTTCTTCAGATGTCTCAACACGTCGCTCTTTTGTAGTGGGATGAAACTTCCATATATTTTGTAGAAGTCATCGAGAAATTCTAGAGAAACGGAGAAACACCGTCAACAAACACTGAACAGCTGTGAAACACATATCTAAACCAAACAAATTGGAAGAACATTATAAAAAGTGAAATAAAAATTCTACCGTGGATGTCCTTTGTCAGTATTTTAAGGCTGGCATCAGTGTGTGAAGACGCCATATTTTTACTGGTGACTCTCTCATCAGTGTCTCTGTTTGCAGCCTGGTCCTGATCTGCACTGACAGCGGTGAATAGTCCTGATGGGCCGTCAGCCTCAAGCCGTTGAGCTAGTACCACTGTCCTTGGTTCTTTAACATGTGTAGTTAACCCACACGCATCACTGTCTGTACTCAACCGGGGTTTGACAGCGTGAGAAAGTTCTAAAGGGTCCATAATTTCACTATGCTGGACCAAAGTTTCTGTTGTTTGAGACGGCAGCGTCACTGTTGGCACGGCGGTGTTACTAGCAGAAACATTTGTGTCCGTAACCAGGTTCTGCGAGGAACTGGGAGCAGTGAATGTTTCGGATAGATTGACAGATTCGCACAGCTTCGGCAGGCCATTCTGCCCTCTGAGCGCGTCCTCTGAACCTCCAGTATCACATCCAAGAGGTGGCACCAGAGCTGAATCTTCTGGGTTTGTTGTGTTGTATGTTGGAACTTTACTTTTATTTTTCTGTGGCTGTGTCTTTACACCGAGGCCGGAGCCAGGGCTCGTCCCACACGCTCGTTTCTTTGCTCTAAATATCCCGAAACGGCATTTCTCTCTCCGCTTCCTCCACATCCAGAGTTGTAATTTACAATACAAGCGTCTCTTTGCTCGCCGGGAGAGATGGGAAACTCCCTTGACTGAAGACATCAATCCCTTTTTTCTCTTGAGGTATTTTGCTTTGCGCTGGTGGCTCTGCGTTCGGTGCATCTGGGAGAGATTAACTGGAGTTAGGAATGGCGGCACATGGGAGCATGTAGTTGTGGGTATCCTTTCAGCTGCTGAAGGAAAGGAAGCTCATATACAACAGTGCAGCATCTGGATTTTACTTTGTCTTCTCTTTGATAGGGATGATACACACGTTCAGGGCCATAGTCCACCGTCTCCGGTGACTGTTTCTGACTGAACTTTCCGATTGATACTTCAGCCGCTACCGGCCACTTTAGACTTTAAGTTGAAAGGTAAATAAGTGTGTGAAATGCTGATGTATCTGTAGGCTCGGCCACACCGTGACAGGATTTTCATAGCTTACTCAGCTGCAGTGGTATTCGTGTCCGCTTCTGGTGGCTTCCTCGGGAGAGTAATGCACAGTCCGAACATCTGCTGCAATACAGAATGAAAGTGTTATTATATGAAGAGCTCCGACACATCTTCATCTTACTTTTACTGTTACAATTTCTACTTCATAGTTATACTAGAAAAAAATAGCAGTCTTTTTTTTAACCGCACTACATTTATTTGACAGCAGTAGCTACCAAACACGAGTATATTATAGAACCAGCTCCCTTTTTATCAGCTGCGTCATTTAAATGATGCTTACATGAGTAATAACAATCAGCAAAGACAGCAGTACTGTTACTTTTGATACTTTCAGTTCAGTTTGCTGAGCTTATTTTCATGTAGGGGTTTAAATGCCCGTCTTAGACTTGAAACTGAGTCTTTTTTTTTTATATTGTTGCATTGCTACTTTTAAATAAGTGATTGATCTGAACACTGCTGCCAATAATACAGCTGGGTCAAGTCACAGCAACGTGAGAGCTTAGCTACACAGAACTACTCCCACAGATGTTTCAGTAGAATCTAACCTCTGTCAGCTCTGTTGACAGTCGTAAGACCTTACTATGTGCGAGCATGTGCACCACACAGGTAACTTCACGAGCAGTCATACTTCATTTCATCCGGGCTTGGAGAGCACACATGGCTCAATGTTTGGCACGACTTCTTCTCGACACGTGTTTCCAAGCAAAGACCTCAGCTAAATGAGCTAACAGAGCTAGGTTCAGTGACACAACAACAGCGGGTCTCCTCAGCCCCCCCCGCCTTACCGCCTCTGCCCCGCTGCCTCAGTGAGTGTGTGCGGGACGAACCATTGTCTGATGAAGCTCTACCTCCGGGACAATGGTGTACTTCTTTATTTAAGACACGGTGTTTCCCGGTGTGACCCTCTGAACCTGCAGCGCATTTAGCATCATGTATACAATCAGTCCACATTGAGAGTCGCGTGTGGATTGCGTCACTCCTTGCGCCGACCAATCAGATTTGTCTTTGTGTTTGTTGGGAATCATTTTTTTTTTTACATTTCGGGAAAAGATGGCAGCAGAGCGTTTAGACACAGGCTATATAAAGCTATTTGTTCGGTTAAATTGTGTGTTCTTTTTTTAAATTATCATTATTCACGTTTCTAATTTGTTTGTTTCTCTATTTTATTTTTCTATTTATTTGAAGTCTGACAGCTCTCAAATCTTAATGTGGAAGCAGAGAAACAGCTTGTATTGATATATAACAGCTGTCATTTTTATGGTTTTGAAGCATTGAGACAATTTTCTTATTATTAACATTTTGAAATACAGCACTAGAATAGAACCAGCATGTGTGGGGACGCCTTCACTGGAATTAGTGTTAAATGTCCACTTCAGGTGTCTCGATACTTCACCCTTCTGTAGTGGGGTGAAACTTCGTATTTGAATGAATTTCTAGAGAGACTGAAAACATCGTTATCTCAGTGTGTGTTAACCAAAAGATAAAGAGAAAAACAATAAAAGTGGGAATAACATAGATTAAGTTTGTCAGTGCTTTTTATTGCTGACATCTGTTTAAGAGAAATCTGTCTTTGTACTAGTAATCATCTCATCAGTGTCTCTGTCTTTAGCCTGGTCCTGACCTGGAGCGACACTAGTGTATTGTGCAGATGGTTCAATACACAGAGCAAATATGTGGGTGGTAGCAGCAAGTGTCCCTGTCCCTCAACTATGTCCTCCCCACCCCCCCGTTGACAAATGTCCTCCTTGCTGAAGTGTCATTGAGTAAGTCACTCAATCCCTGCTGGCAGTGGGGCCCTGCAGCTGTAGCTGACCTCTGCGGAGGCGAACAGCTGCTTACACATTATGGATGTTTGAACATTAAGCTCTTTGTAAAATATCTAATTCAAGCCAGATCTGGACACAGATATCATATGAAAATCCCAGACAGTGGAGATGTTTTTAGATGGCTCACCATAAAACACAGTGAACTCTCACTGATTTAAACTAGAGACCGCTCATCCCAAGCCAGACTTTGTCATCTCACATTTGTTTTGGCACCAGTCCTAAAACAGAGTACGACCCACACATGTGACGCAGGAGTCAGGCAGGATGATCATGGTGTTTAACTTGGCTCTGTTTTCTCGTTTGAAGTACAAGATATATACACCCCAGGCTGCATGAGCTCTGCCTCTCCAACTTATCCTTGTCTACTCAACTGCTCTGAAAACTTTTGCGTGCATCTCTAACAAAAATGAATCTCCTGGGTATCACTGTGGTTCTGGTACTACTGGCGGGTGTATGGGCTCAGGTCAGTGTGCTACGGCCTCAGTGCGACTCCCCTGAGGCAGAGGAGGCTGCTCTGGTGGCTCAGGATTACCTCAATGGCCAGCACGTCCATGGCTACAAGTATGCACTAAACAGGATCGAGGACATCAAGATCATTACTAAGGTAGGTGTAGTTACAAGAACAGACATTTATACAGATAGTTACCCCTGATTTTCAGCTTTCTTTCTTTCTTTCTTTCTTTCTTTCTTTCTTTCTTTCCATTGTTTTATTTTATCTCAGCACCCTAATTAAGATATAATGCACTTGTGCCTCTGCAAGAAAGCAATTGCACATAAATGTGTGAAAAGATTGAAAATGAACATGCTCTATTTTTCAGTGTCATTTGAAACTATGACTAGGGGCTTCTGTCAATGTAGTGATCAATCATCACATTGCAGAATCCGGTCAAATACTGATGCTGTAGGAAAAAAAATACTAGACAATGTTTCATTTTACCTCTCCTTAGCCTGATGGAGACAACACATACATCCTGGAAGTTGACCTGCTGGAGACAAACTGTCATGTGTTGGACCCCACACCGGTTGCCAACTGCACAGTCAGACCCAAAATACTGACGGTGAGACTGTATACCATTAGCACACAGAAGCTCTTATACTTGAGCTACAGGAATTCAACAAAATGTAAAGATGATCATTTTAGGATATAAAATAATTAGAATGGAAACTGTTCAGATTGACTTGATTTGGTATTTGGACCAATTCTCTGTCCCCAATAAGGCAGTAGAAGGGGACTGTGACGTGGTGCTGAAAAAGGTTGGCGGAGCTCTGACTGTCACAGCATTCAAGTGTAAAACCGAGGGTAAAACCTTCAGATCATACGCTTAGCAATATAAACACAGACACCCACATACATTCAGAACATGCCACACAAGTATCACCCTATACACAAAAACCTGCATGTGTCTTTTTTTGATGCCATATAGAATCAACAGAGGACCTGTGCCTCGGCTGTCCAACCCTCCTTCCCCTAAATGACACCTCAGCACTGGACTTTGTCCATGCCTCTCTGGCAACCTTCAACAACATGACTGTGGACGTAACCTACACTCTTCTGGAGGTTGGAAGAATGTCATCACAGGTGGGCCCAAGAATAATCCACCCAGTTCAATGCACCTGCATGTTTAAATTTGTCTCTGTCAGTACATCAGTACATCTCAATACTTTGTTTCAGATTGTGTCTGGTGGACCAATCTATGTTGCAGAATATGTTGTAGTTGAGGCTAATTGCACTGATGATGTCTGTGTGCCCCTGAATGATGCCATGGCTGTAAGTACACGAAGCAGTGTAGCTTCCCATTTTTTTTAAACAGAGTAGTTGTTCTCTCAATTTGAGACTAGAATAAGTTATTATAACACTTGTTTAGCCCTGCTTGTTGTTAATCATAGAAGATAGGAAAATTATAAATCTGGTCACTAAAAAAACAGAACAACAAAATTGAATATAATATCTGTTTATTTTCTTCTGCCAGGTACGTGGAATTTGTTCTGCCAGTGGTTTGAATGCTCGGCACTCAGTGGACTGCAAGATGTTTTCCACTCTGGTAAAATACTGTATTTTATCCATCTAAATGTTGATGGCCAAAAATAAGTCACCAACTTTATTATGCAACATTTATACAGCTGTTTTTTCCTAAGCCTCTGTTGATGCATCCGCTTTTTCAGGTGCCTATTGTAGATGCCAACAGCACTGTAGCTGCAGCTCCTGCATTGCCACCACTGGTCAATGTACATACAGGCAGCCTGTCACCCAAGCATGGTCTGAGACACCACAAACTGACTACTATACATGACCCTGAGCTAAGTGGCCTTCTGTCTGCAGAATCAGCAGAGTCAGCTGAAGTTGTGCCTGTAGCCCCTGCAGTGGTTGATGCTGCTGCAGCTGCTGCACCTACTGCTGATCCAGCAGCACCAGTTGCTGATCCTGCTGCAGATCCTGCTGCTGCAGATCCTGCTGCTGCAGATCCTGCTCCAGCTGCTGCAGATACTGCTCCAGCTGATGACAGTACATCAGCCTCAGACGCTTCATCCAGTAAGGAGGTCCTTCATAATTTGAAGAAGAGAGATGTACCTGCTGCTCCTGCCTTTGCAGCGGCTAACATCCCTGCAATTCAAACAGACCCTGTTCCTCTTGTGCCAGTGTGCCCAGGAAGGATCAGATTCTTTTAAGTGTTCAGGTCCCACAGACTCTATATACTTGCTTCCTTCACTTACACTGGTACTAGATTAATTAAAGATAAATGAACATGTCTTGGTTTCCCCCCAAAAAAGGAATAATCCATTATTTGAAACTGCCAAATCACACATGAGCATTATGCATTGAAAAACAACTGTGTAAAGTGTAAAATGGACGATAATGATGTACACTTGATGCTGCTGAATAAATCTCTCAAGTCAAAGCTTTTCTGTTCTTACTTTTTGGGTTTTAAAGGCATGCTTTAAAATTTACTGAAACAATTTATTGAACAATATTTAATAGCAGCAGTCGGTGAACCTTACCTACCTTACCTAAGACCTTTTACAGATTTGATGAGGACACACTGATAACCTCTCTATACAGAGCTTTGAATAAACACACTGGTACCAAAATCCTTTTAATCCTTCATGCCAAGTCTTTAAGGGTGATTGCAAAATAGTGATGTTTGCTGATTGTGTTGACTCATGCCAATGACATCCCTGTGAACCTGTTGACATTTCCTTTAATTGAAAAAAAGTCTCTTAAATTTTGTCCCATACATCTCTGTGTTCAAGGTGGTTCAACATTTCAAATATGACTTTACTCAAATTATATATATGAAATATTTTAATAGGCAAAGGTCAGACAGTTCACAGGTTATGCTACATGGATTTTCATATACATTTACATAATCAGGTAGTCACTAATCTAATATGCAAAAGCAAGATTTATAACACTCTAAATATGCTCAATGTGTTTTTTTTTTATACCAAACTCTATAAATATTGTATTTGTATAACACCTGTGCTCTACAGTATGACATTAAAAACACAATACATGAATAAAAGATACTGTGTGGCATTAAAAAATAAAACAAAAACAGATAAAAAATAAAGAAAATAAATTCATGAAAGTAAAATAAAAGATCCAATAACAAAGACAGATATAATATGACACTAAAAACAAAATACAAAAAGCTAAAAACAATACAAGGAATACATAAATGGAAAAGAGCCAACAAAAGGTAAAGATTTTAAAAAAATATATAGGTCTTCAGTTTATTTTTTTAAATGGCAGGAGAGGAGGCATATCTAATGTAACTGTGCAGGGTGTTCCAGTGTGTTGGACCATAGTTGCTAAGAGCACTTTCGCCTTGTTTTGTGGGCTACTTTATGAAAAGTTAAAACACCATGGGGTTAAAAAGATTGAAAAGTAAGATGGTGCTATATTAAGAGCTTTGTACCAGTGGGTAAAAGGACCTTACCATCAATTTTAAAGGGAATTGGGAACCAGTGCAGGGTAGCTTAAACAAGAGTAATGTGCTCCCGTTTTCTAGTCTGTTAAAAGTCTGGCAGCAAAGTTCTGAACCAAATGCTTTTTTAAAATACAACTTGTTAATCAGACATGAATCAGTGTCTTGGTATCCTTCAAGAATGGCCTTACTTTGGTTAAATTTTTCAAGTGGAAGAATGCAGTCTTGGTCACTTTAACATGGGCTTCGAAAATTATAGTCAGAGTTCAAAATGACACCAAGCCTTAAACTTATGATTTGGTCTGGTGAGCCAGGTAAAATTCATATTAAAAGCAAACTAGCACTAGAATTGCCATGTAGAACATGAATATTTCAGAATCGCAAAAAGATTTTAGGGTTGTACTTTGAAACCACTGTTGATGAATGGGTGAATTCTAGTAAATTATTTACATTAATGGGAACATTTCAGGAAGTGCCAGTTCATGGTAAAACTAAAATAGTTCAACAGGGGCAATGCACCATTTGATTCCCCAACACCGGATATAATCCTGCTGTCAACTTTGAAACCACTCCAAAAAAAAAAAAAAAAAAAAAAAGTTGTCCTTGACCACCCATGCCACAATAGATAAGGATTTCTGCTCTTAAGCCCACTTAGCACCACTTTTACAAAATGTAACCCTCACACACAAAAAAATAAAGACACAAGCTCAGGTAGTTAGTTTTAATTGTTTATTCAAATTGAAGACTACTCATTTTCACTTCCGATTTCCACCTTCTTTCTGAATCGGTTGGTTCAGACCTGCAAGAAATACAGGCATTAGTTCAAAAGTCTGGGCTAAGAATTTTTCCAAATCATATTAACAGCATACCATTTCCTTGGTGGTCAGCTGCAGAGCGCCATCCTTGAAATGCTTTTCCAGGAACATGAGGTGGAATTGTTTGGCTGGAGCCTAAAGGAGTCATAGGCTTCAGGAGGTTTTTGAATGAATTGGAGAATTTAGGTATTAAATGTGCTCCGCTGAAAGTAGGGTCCAGGGGCACAAAATTAGAGTCTTCTGAAGCAGAGAAAAACAATTGCAAACTTTCTGATTCATCACAAAGCCTCGACATATAGTTGACATTACTAGGTGAGGGATCGGCCATTCCTTTCGAAAGCCATTTGGGGTGTTGGGTTTTTTCCTGTGGGGGCCTGAAATTCTGAGGACTGGGGGGTTTACTACTGTGATGCCTTGCAAAGTTTTGTGCCAGGAAGTTTGTGTCTTGAACCAGGTCTCTGACAGGCAATGGAGACTGATTGAAACTGTTGGGCTCCCTACCTGGTGGGCCATGCTGTAGCAGCACATAACCCTGTTCATTGCTGGTTGATTTCTTTGAGTCACTCACAAATGGCTGTGTTTGTGTGTTGTTAAGGACTGTTGACTTGTTATAAGTAGTTGCCGCAGCATGTTGAAGCATGTAGTAAGGGACCAGATGATGATCAAGATCACTTTGGACTTCAGGATGGGTTTGCCCTTTATATTCAATGGCTTTTTGGTTAGAGGGCTGTAGTTCCTTGGCTGTAGGTGTATTTTGCCCCTTTTCTGTAGGCAGCAAGGGTAGAAACCGCTTAAGGAAAGACCTGGCCTCAGCAGATGGTTTGCTGTTCTGCTGCTGTAGGGGCTGTATGTTATACGGCTCAAATTGCACCATTGGATTTACTGGTTCGTTATCCTGAGCTCGAGGTTTAGCGGGCACACCGTAGTGAGGTGGGGACGCCATGTAAGGTACATTTTGCAGCTCTTGACTTTGTAGTTGATATGGCCAATTAGGATATAATGAATTGGGTATAAAATAAGGGTATATTTTTTGTTTAGGATTTGTGGGCTTGCTGGGATTACTTCCAGGTAGTGCAGCAGGGTTGCCATCTAGTGGCTGAAGATATGGCTGCTTTTCATTTCCAGATGGAAGGAACTGAGGCAAAATAGCTGCAGAGGTAGAAGTTGTGGGTGCTTGAGTAGTCACTGCTTCAGTTGACTTTTGAGGAAAGGGAGCAGAACCAAAGCCATTACCAAACCCAGAATATGCCATTGAAGGGAGGAATGGCAGTCCTGGGTAGATAGGGGTATCTTTACTGCCAGGTCCAGCAGGAACAATATGATGGAGATGCTGATGAAACGCAATTTGTGGACAGCAATTAGAAAATCCAGATGGACAAGACTGAGGGCAGTACACAGGTGGCATATGTGCAGAGCCTAGCAGAGGGTTTTTTGGGACCATATCACCTTTACTAGGTTGTGGCTTGGCAGATTCCATGGTGTTATGACCAGGGGCTGGAGTGGTAACCTGCTGTGGTTGCTGCATGGAGGTAGCGGGCGGGGGGGTGACAAGCTGGGGGTGCTGGGGATGCTGTGGGTAGTAGTATGGGTTAAAAGGGTGAGGCACCTGGCCCCCTGGTGGTTGGACAGCTGGAGGCTGTTCACTTTGGGCTGGCTTTTCAGTGGGAGCTGTCTGACCATTTGTTCCAACACCTGGTATCTTGAATGGTTCAGGGTTAGAAGGTTTTTGTACCTGTCCAATAGGTATTTTACTGGCTGGGGGCTTTGGAACAGCAGGTAGTTTCTCAGCTGGGGGTTTTTCAGGCTCTGGCTGGGAGTAATAGGGGATGGGGAAGAAAGGCTGATATACTTGGCCTTGAGGGGCTTCAGGTTGCTGTGGTTGTGGAGGCTTTGTTGCTGGTTGAGGTTCAGGCACAGGCTGAGGGTAGAAAGGGTTGGGGTAGAAAGGCTGATATACTTGGCCTTTAGGGGCTTCAGGTTGCTGTGGTTGTGGAGGCTTTGTTGCTGGTTGAGGTTCAGGCACAGGCTGAGGGTAGAAAGGGTTTGGGTAGAAGGGCTGATATACTTGACCCTGGGGGACTTCGGGTTCTGGGGGCTTTGGGACAGCCGTGGGCTTTGTTGCTGGTTGACTTTCTGGCTGAGGGTCAAAAGGCTGATATGCTTGGCCTTGAGGAGTTTCAGGTTGCTGTGGTTGTGGAGGCTTTGTTGCTGGTTGAGGTTCAGGCACAGGCTGAGGGTAGAAAGGGTTGGGGTAGAAAGGCTGATATACTTGGCCTTTAGGGGCTTCAGGTTGCTGTGGTTGTGGAGGCTTTGTTGCTGGTTGAGGTTCAGGCACAGGCTGAGGGTAGAAAGGGTTTGGGTAGAAGGGCTGATATACTTGACCCTGGGGGACTTCGGGTTCTGGGGGCTTTGGGACAGCCGTGGGCTTTGTTGCTGGTTGACTTTCTGGCTGAGGGTCGAAAGGCTGATATGCTTGGCCTTGAGGAGTTTCAGGTTGCTGTGGTTGTGGAGGCTTTGTTGCTGGTTGAGGTTCAGGCACAGGCTGAGGGTAGAAAGGGTTTGGGTAGAAGGGCTGATATACTTGACCCTGGGGGGCTTCAGGTTCTGGGGGCTTTGTTGCTGGTTGACTTTCTGGCTGAGGGTAGAAAGGCTGGTATACTTGGCCTTGAGGGACTTCTGGCTGTGGTGGCTGGTATATTTGTCCAAGTGGCTCCTCAGAAACTGGGAGCTTTGGTGGCACAGGGTGTTCAGGTAATGTTTCAGGCTTAGGTGGTTGAGGATAAATTGGAAAAGGGTTGAAAGGTTGCTTTCCTTGGTACGGAGTACCAGTAGTTTTCACAACTGGAGGAGCTGTAGAAGGTAAAGGCTTCACTTCAGGCCTGGGTGCAGGAGGGAGACTGTCAGGGTAAGGTGGCTTAACATAGAATGGATAAGGGTAAAATGGTTGTTGCTGTATAGTAGGGCTTGGTGTTTGTGTTGGACCCTTTACTGGGCTTTTTGTGGGTTGAGGTTGAGCTCCTGACAGGAAGGGACAGGAAACTTTAGTTTCTCCATCTCCAGCCAGCTCCAGGGTATACATCCCATCCTGGAACACAAAATGATTATGCCATTATTTTATTTTAAAAGCAAAGTTTTTGTAATTGAAGAAATTTGTATTGTACCTTTTTCTCCAGGCAGGGTGTATAGCGAACAGAAACAACCACACCTTCGGGATGTACAACTACACTGAACCCACATCTGGGTGAGGCTTTCATCAGTGGCTCCCAGGTACCATTCACTGTAAGAAGAATGCATTACTGCCAGGTACACTTTTAAAAATACAAGTCACAGGGCCTATCAGACCATTTTATCACTGCACAAGTTCTCCCAATAATCCAAATTCAAGTTCAGTGCACTCACTTAAGGTTTAGAAAATAGTGAAATTGTGTAATTGTGTCACATGCATCAGAATTAAAGTTTACTTAATAAAGATTGAATAGAAAAGATGCTTTTAAAAAAAAGTTGCTTATGACAGTTCATAGAGCAACCTTATAGTAGGTTTGTATTAAAAACACAAGTTCTTGTTTTCCAATACAGACATTTTGACATTGAAGAGCAAGAAAAGCACAGGTGTCAAATAATGATGCAGTAAGCAAAAATAGACAATACTAAAAGGTCTGACACTAAATCGACACAGCCATTTTAATCTTAATTCTTGCACGCGTGTTTGGAAGTTAAAATACAGGGTAGTGCAGCAGACATGTGAAGCAACTTTTCAGTGTTTCTTAAACAGAAATTGAGACATGAAATATTGAGAAAGCGGCAAAAACTTACAATTTACTTTAATTTTAGAGACAGAGATAGTCCATTCCACTTTCAAGACCATGCCCTCCGCGTGGCAGGTGACCATTGGAGGGTTGGGTGAAGACTGCCTCAACATAGGGCATGACATCTTTACTGGTAACCCCAACCAACGCAATGGCAGAATGTAGTTGTCCTCCTGAAAACAGCAAGAAACATTTTACATGCGTGTAAAAGCAGATTGTATTAAAAAGTATTAAAACTGTGCAATGCTGTATCCCACCTGAAGATCAACAAAGCACCCATCATAAGGGGCAACTAAGACCAAATCTCTCCGTGTCGACCTGATGGTGTAACCACAGCTTGTTGGCAACTTGGAAAGAGGAAGAGGAGACAGACGACTTCCTGAGCAATTCAACAGGAAAAAGGAATTCAAAAACATTTAAATTAAACCGTTCTGCACACACTTCTAGTATTGTGTGTAAATGTTATATATTATTGGTCCATGAGAGACTGGAAATTTACCCCTGTCGACAAACAACAGAGATCCAGGGGTAGAAGCAGCATTTTGGACTTGAAGCTTCATGGAGTTTCCAGTACATTCAACCTTTGGTTCCATTTTAAGGAGTTGCTCCACTGCCGCATCATCTGACTTTAGCCTTGAAAAGCCCTCATCCTGTTCTTTAGCTGGCTTGGGCTGCCCCCAACCTTGTGTTCAAACAGTGGTGCACAGATTCATTTATAAGCCTAAAGGTCAACACGTGTACAAGATATGTGTTTGACTTGCTGTGGCAAAAATAGTTTTAAAAGTCATCATTAATAAACTTTTGTAGTGTAGGTTGTGCAGGATTGTAATATGAATATCAACTTTACATACCCATATCTGCTTGGTAATCTGTGTCAGCATCCAGTAAGTTTTTTGTGGTCTTGGTTCCTTTGAGTTTAGCACCTTGCAGAGACTTCTGCCCAATTAAGAGTCTTCCATGGTGCAGTTCACTCTCCTTATGATGACCTTGGCTAAGCATCGAGTTTCCTCTTAATTCAACCAGTTCTTTAAGCTTTGTCAGTCTTCTACAAAGGCAAAATGAACTTGTAAACAACAAAAGTCCAACAACTAATAAAACCTTAGTGTCTCTGCTCTCTCTACACGCCATTGGAACAAAGAAAAAGCACTGTACAGGCAGATTAACTCAGCAGTGCGTCGCAAATGCTGAACTCTCCAGTTTGAAAGGCTGGGAGGATTGGTCCTAATTATGCCTAATAAAACACCTGATTTCACAAGGTGTTGCCAATCCTTGCCAAAATTAAGAGCAGTCAATCTGTGGCCCTGAACACCCCATAGGCTGACATGTAGTCTTTAGCACTGGGGAAATGTGTTCAGACACGAACATTTTGTAGTCAGGTTTTGCTTGTTTGATAGTCTTGCTACGTTTATTGGGCTTTATTAGAATATTGTTTTTCAGGCTTTTAGGCATGTGATTTAAATTTGTTTAAGCCCTTTATCTCTTCAGGCCTCCCCGAGCCTGTACAGAATATTTTTCCACACAGACAACCGAGAGAAATGCTTTTCAGTCCAAAATATCTAGCAATAATTTTTCATAGCAAACAACCTAGGTGCTTAAAATGTTATGGTGTCTTTTTCTGCCCTAATTGGGTGGTAGATGGACATAGTGTCCACATCTTTTTTTGGTCATATGTGTTTAAACCCTTAAAAGTAGAAACCCCATGTTGGGCCAAACTCATTGTGCAAAGATAGTTCAAACCTACATCAATTTATTTTCAATTTAATAAATCTCCATTGTGCGGCATTAAGAAACAGAAATTCTTGGATTTGAATGTTTCAATGTATGTAGCTTCAAAGGTTTGGAACAAGCAGGAATGGTATGATAGTGTGAGACAGAAGAATAGCTTTAAAGCTACATAGGGGAAATAAAAGGTAACTGTTTTATAGGGTTAAAACAGCTTGTTACTGAAAGTCAATCATTTATTCCTTCGGTCTGATCAAAAGGGTATCAAAGTTTCATTATTGAATAGTAGAGGGTTTGTTTCTTCTCATTCACTCTGAACCCAACAGTTACAAATATCTTTCGCCTAATAGTGCTTTATAACTTTGAAGTACGTCTGTTCACAACAAATGTATTGATTGACTTGTCTGCGACTACTGGAGTAGCTAAGAGTCTTTTCAAAGTAATTCATTTCTCATCAGCAACAGCCTGCAGCCCACTAAACATTTGGCTGAGAGAACCTGTCTACATCCCCAACACGCTCCTATTAGAGAATAGGGGCATCTAGTAGTTCAGGAATGAATAGTCTGAGTAGTGCTGTTCTGTTTGAGTGTACATTACAAGATCCACAACATAATTAGCCTGCATTATCACTAATGTAATGCATCATTAATATATGTTTAAACTGGGTATTTTAGAAAGACTTTCAAACATACAAATCTACAAAGGCAACAGACAGGACATATTGGCTTAACCTCTGGTTGGAATAACTTTTATTTGATCTGTCTGTAAACAAGATGTCTCATCAATTCATGGCATTTGAAAAAGCAGATTTTGTGGCAGATGAATTTTCCAACTCAAAAAAAAAAAAAAGACAAAATATTGAAAACTTATTTTTTCTGTTGTTTAATTCTGTACATATTCCACAAAGTCTGGAGATTACTGATGCCAAAATATCCTTAAGGAAAGTGCCATTTAAAGTTACTTCTTGCTGGGGCAGCAGTTAAAAATCCAACTTGTAGTAGCAACAGATCAGATCGATTTTATGGCACAGAATACACAGTTATTCTCAGAAGATTTTCACAAGACAACTTACAAATGTTCTTATTCCAACCAACACCATTTTCAATATGTTTAGTGTACACAGCATCATTTTTTTCTTTTAAATATACTTCTAAGTACCGTACTATGACAATTTGTGAATACACCTTTGATGACTAAAGCACAAGGCAAATAATTCCAAGGTGTTGGAGCCCAACAGCCTCGGTTTACAGTCAAAATGCATTCATACTGTAGTAAAATGACATTGCCATTTCATTGGTTAATGGATATAAAGTTAGCAACAAATCAATTAGTGATGAAGTTTAAGTGTTGAAGTCTAAGGAAGCAGTTAAATGTTTTACAGTCATCTTACTGATTTACAGTCAACAGGTGATGCCAACAATCATCAATCAGAATAAGCTGAAGTAACTGATAATCCTCTTGTACTGACAATTGGTCCATCAGGGAGGGGGGGTAACTTCACATAACATGAGTGTGGAGTGATTTACAGAAAAATTTACAAATAGCAGAAGCTAGTGACAAATGATTGAGATATCACAGAGGTGGAATGTCCACTGAAACTCCTGGATGTGGTGAAGTATCATGACAATATCTTGAGAGCTCAGCAATGCTGACCTTACACTACACTCAAACAACAACCCACCACCACATCATTAACTTTTAAGACCACATTCAGGTACAACAGCAAAAGCATGTGATGGAGGGTAAAAGAAGTGGTGCTTGAGCGTGGCAAATTGATACACACATACAGGACTTTGTCAGAGGAAATTTGTCATTTCTTTAATGGAGGCGTGAAGACTTGAAAGATGGAGGCAGATGAGAAGATGGTTTTGGCTGGAATATTACGCTGGGACAGAGAGGGGACAGCACTGAGATCTGTATGCTAAAGAGGGTGTGCATGCAACTTTTAAATGCCCACATGCTGATGGAAAAAAAAAAAAAAACTAAACAAGACTGTCATATTTTAATAATGCTCACAAAGCATAACTATTCAAACTGTCACCACCATTACATTTGTACTTCCCCTTGAAATATTAGCCAGTTGCTAAGTGAATGTTATACAAGGCGAGTCCAATTTTGTGTTACACTTTTATTATTACACTTTGCGATCATTTTTTTGCACTCTTTTGGTTAATAAACATTTCAATGAACATGCCATTGCTGTAGTGTCAAAAACATGAGAAGTACAATGTTAAAGTGGGAAAGGTTTCTTTTAAAAAAGTCAGGGGGTAGTTGAGCAAACAAAAGGCTGTGTATAAAAGTAGACTGGGGAGGAAGTAACATTGTATGCCATCTAATCCTGGAAGTAGTGTCAACACAATGCGGTGAGTGGGAGTGAGCTGCTAAGTTGATGGATGGGTGGAGAGGTTGCTTAATATCCAGACTTCCTCAGGTACTCAGCCATTGAATGTGCTTTCTTGTTAAGATTTCCACCATGGACCGCCTCCTTTCCCATGACTAAAACCAATACTGGAGCACACAAGGAAAAAAAGAGAAATGAACACAATTGAAGAGTCTCCCCCCTACAGGATGAAGAGGGGAACAAAGGTGACACAGTATCTTACCACTCTTCATTGCTATTAAAAGTTTCCAAGACATTTGACTGCTTGCAGGAGAAATCTTAACAGCAATATTTCTTTTCTCTTCTTTTTGTCCCTCAATTTTATCTACGTGAGCTTGAAAACATTAAAACCCTGAATCCCTCAAGTATTTTGCCATTGAGTAAGCCTTCTTATTCAATCCGCCTCCATGGACCCCTTCTTTGCCCATTACAAGAACCAAAACTGAAAGAGAAGAGATAGAAAAAAGGGGAGAGTTAAGAAAATTAAAAGAAAAGGTAAAAGGAAAGGCATTCCAACTACAAAGTATTGTCACCAGAGGTGTGTGGTGCAGGGATATTCAACTGTGTGCCATGCAGGGCTAACTGTCTGCAGTGTCCATACATTTCCTATCCCACAATGTGGCACTGCTCCTTGGACTGATGACTGCCAAATGAGGAGAATTCAGTGTCCAAACGTTTATTACTCACTAGTGCGTCCTAAATAGGGAATTGTCAATAAGTAAACAAGTGGGCAATTTCCCCACACAGCCCTGATGAGCCATAACACATGGTTGGATATAACCACTGTAACCTTTTCTTTAATGTTACAATTAGAAGCTGCAGGAAGATCAGTGCACTTTATTGGCCGGGACAGCTCTTGCTGACCTCTGCTTTTAACAGCAAACCATATGTAAAAACACCTATGAGCCAAGGGAAATTACAAACAAAAACATTTGTTAGAGGATGAAGCACTTAAGGCAATGGGACTCATTAAAAGGTGCACTCACTTCATCTTCCATACAGTTATGTGTACAGGCTGTAGCATCTCACTGTACCTTTTAGTGCAAATTAAATATATACAACATGTAATTTGTGCTCTTCTGACTACCCTTTGTTAAGTACAACATGCAAAGCAGGAGGATGACAGGTGGAAATCTCTCAAACATAAAAGGAAGCAGTGTTGGAAAACTGAAAGGAAAACAGTTCGGTTTTGATTGCAAATCAGTGTTTCCCCACATATTTCATCTTTTTACTAATAAGCCAGATTTGTACATTGCTTTTTTGTAGCCAATTATCAAAACTCTTAAATCTCAGAAAAATTAAGAGAAACACTGGAGCAATAGCAGACATTAAGGGCCACAAAGGCAAACAGACTTGAGTAGGCAAACCCTGGTTTATTTAAGGTTTACAATTAAAATCAGACAATTAAATAAATCATATGATGTTGTGACTCTGGGCCCTGATTCACAAAAGCGAGTTGTGAGCGCTGTTCAAATTATGGTAATTATTGTCATTTATTGACATGCCAGATTTTCTCAATTAACTGTCCATGTGTTAGAAGACAGAAAAATTCTAGTAGTGAAGTCTTCAAATGTCATCTTTTGTCTGACTGTATGGGAAGGAAAGCATCAAATCCTCATTTAAGAAGCTGGAAGCAGCATGTTTGGCCAGGAGAGATGATCTTATGTTGTAATTTTAATAAAATGGGCCCCTGATTTTCAGTCTGCACTTCTATAAGTCACAAACTCATGTGAGGTAGCTCTCAAAAGAAATCAATATGGTACATGATATTCTACGATGTAAGACAGCATTTTAATAGTGTGATGAACCATTTTTAAACTACGCTTTTACCTTTTCCAGCTCTCCCCACAGTGATATTGTATGTAGGTTCTCCTCCTTGGCTCTTTGTCCTGATGTCCATTGTCCAGTCACCATCATCGTGGAGGCTATCTCTGAGGACTGAACACTTCTTTGAGCCCAGAGTGAGACCACTGGTGTAAAAGGTCTCCCTGTCCTTACCAATAAGGACATCAATTTCTTGAGACTGAAAAACACAAAACCACAGGATTGGAGCGATTTCAGTCAGATCCTCAGAAAGATGCAACATGTCTTTCAAGTCACATGGTTAGCATAATTCCTCCAAGTATAAAAAGGCACAATATTAATTAATTACATAAATTAACTTATGTACACAAGAAGGACATAAATCAAAGTCAAAGAGTAATGTTCGTTAAGGTATGAAAGTAAAAAGCCTATAGACACGTTATGAAGCCTTGATCATTTATTTAAAAAAAAAACAAATATATATATATATATATATATATATATTTTTATATATATATATATATAAAATAAAAAAGGCCCTTTAACTTTAGTACGTTGAAGAAGCGTGCCTCAACATTTCGGGAAATAAATGTCCTTTTTGTGGACACTGCATACTCATGCATTGGGAGCACCTGCACTATTTTACCGTCAGAACCAACAAGTGCTTCCATATTATAATTAATACTGTAAATTTTTAACTAGAGCTGAAGAGACCAGTCAATTAATTCAAGCTAATCAGCAAATATATCCAGCCA